CAAAGAACCAAGAGCCGTAGGTTGTTAATCAAGGGTGGCTGCCCAAGAAGAACCACAGGGCCTGGGGTGAAAGTACTGAGATAAGAGCTGGGGCAAGGGGGCGGGGGGCAGGATTGGGAGCGGTGAGCCTAGATTATAGCACTGGAGGTCTTCTGTTGTGGGAGGCTACCCTCTTTTATCACCCCCTTATCTGGAGGAACATAAGCTTTCACCCTATCCTCACAAATACATTACCCAAGGGAATGGAAAACAAGCATACATGCACTGAAAAATTAGATTTTTCTTTAAGGCATGAGCAATATAAAGGATAGACAAGTCAGAACAACTTAAAGTAAAAGAAGTAGAAGTGATAGAAAAAGCAGAGTAAGAAGGTAAAGTGAGAGATATCAGCAAGATGGCCGAATAAAACATCGCTCACTCATCTCCCCCTCAACAACAGTAATTTGGCGTCCTCTCTGAGCAGGGTGTCTTTGGGGAGCCTTGGGAACCAGGTAGAAGACTGCGAAAGTGGGTGCAGCTCAAGCGGGAGCAGAACCACCTAGAGAAGGCAGGCTCGCACCGGGCAGTGGACTCGATGGCTGCGGTCTCGGCGACAAAGCTGGAAACAGCTCCGTGTCCCTGAGGGCTCAGCTGCATCCCCTTTTGGCTTTGGTTCTGTTACCAGCGCCATATACCAAGGGATCCAGGAGGATTCACACCCACCTGTCGACCCTGAAGTGGCCTGTGAACCAGCTCCAGCCCCTCTTGGCCACAGTCCAGGAATCCCTGAAGGTGACATTATTAAGAAGGCAGCATTGGTTGTTCCTGACTTCAGTTCTTGCAAGAAAACTCAACTATGGTAACAACTCTCCATAGGCAAGACACCACTGTGAAAATCTCAGAACCTGGGAGTGAGGCAGAAACAAGCCCTGGACCACAGAGACCAAGCAGGACCACATTAGAAGGGTATGAGGAGCAGTTTTACTTTGATTACATCAACCCTCCCTCAAGCAATCACAGCACCCACGCAGAGAGGGCCCCCTGGGCCTTTGGATCCTCCAGTGGGAGAAGAGCACCCAAGGAGATGCCCAGCTCCCCCAGCATTGCAGGACACTTCCCAGGAGGCCCACTCAAGACTCACCCCATGGGGATCACTGGGGAATCTGCAGGGCTTGACCACTGGGGACCAGACAGAGATGGAGAGGGGTATGGGGCGTATAGCAATTAGTACTCAAATCCTGATGTAGCACATTCCTGCTTGCAGCAGCACCTGGGCAGAGATACTAGCTAGTGGCTCTGCTCATCCACAGAGCTGACTCTGTGGCCTATATGGCCAAGGAGCTTGGTTGGCCATTCTGCCTGATTTGAGTCCCCAACCAATAGACCGTATTGGCTGTGGAAATCATTTTATGGCCCCACCCCAACAAGGAAGCAAATTGTAACCCCACCCAACTACTTAGCATAGCTTCTAGTCCTGCATGACCAGAAGCCTGGTTAGAGAGCCTGAGCAGCTATGGAACCCATCCTACAACTCTGCGCAGGCAGGAACTAAGCCAGTAACCCTGACCAAATGTTGAGTATAGCCTCTGGCCTCATGTAACCAGGGAATCCGAAGAGTGACCCTGGGCAGCCTTGGAGCACAGCCTATGATATCACCCAGCAATGGAGCTCAGCCTACAGCTCTGCCTGATTGCCAAACACAGCCTGCAGCCTTGCCCAGGCAGAAAGCCCAGCTAGTGGCTCCAGAAGAATGGAAACACAACATACCCAAACACCTGGAAAACAGAACTGGCAAAAACAGTTCTCAGGGGAAAGTTTAGTGTTGTAAGTGCTTACATTGAGAAAAAAGATCTCAAATAAACAGCCTAACTTTACATGTCAGGGGACAAGAAAAAGAAGAACAAACTTAGCCCAAAGTTAGTAGGAAGGAAATAATAAAGACTACAGCAAAAATAAATGAAACAGAACAGGCAAACAATAGAAATAAGTACCAAAAATAAGAGTTGGTTCTTTGAAAGATAAACAAAATTGACAAATCTTTAGCTAGACTCACAATAAAAAAGAGAGGACTCAAATAAATGAAATTATAAACAAAAGAGGAGACATCACAAATAATACCACAGAAATATAAAGAAGCATGAGAGTACTGTGAACAATTACCATACAATTATGGATAATATAGAAGAAGTGGGTAATTTCCTAGAAACAAATAACCTACCAGGACTGAATCTGGAAGAAATAGAAAGTCTGAACAGACCAGTAATGAGGAAGGATACCAAGTCAGTAATCAAAAACAGAAAAACCCAGGACCAGATGGCTTCACTGGTGAATTCAACCAAACATTTAGAGGATTAATACCAAATCCTCAAACTCTTCTAAAGAATTAAAGAGGAGGAACACTCCCAAACTCATTTACAAGGCTGGCATTACCCTGATACCAAAGCCAGATAAGGACACTACAAGAAAAGAAAACTACAGGTCAATATGTCTAAAGAATATATATTCAAAATTCTCAACAAAATCCTAGCAAACCAAATTCAACAGCACATCATCTAGGTGCCAAGGCAATTCAATATCCAGAGGATATAAAGAGCTCTTATAAACAGCAATAAAAAGACAAATAACCCAATGAAAAATGGGCCAAATATTTGAATAGATCCTGCTCCAAAGAAGATATACAAATGACCAGTAACTACATGAAAAGATGCTCAAAATCATTCATCCTTAGGGAAATGCAAATCAAAACCACATTGATACCCGTTTACACTCACTAGAATGGCAATAATAAAAAGACACGAGTGTTGGTGAGAATATGGACAAGTTGGAACCTGTATACATTGGTGGTGGGAATATAAAATGTTGCAGCCACTAGGGAAAAACAATTTTTTAGTTCCTCAAAAATTTAAACATAAAGTTACCATAAGACTAATTCCACTCTTAGGTATCTCTACTCAAGAAAAATGGAAACATAGATCTACAAACAACTTGTACTTGAATGTTCATAGCAGCCTTATTCATAAGAGCCAAGAAGTAGAAACAAACTAAAATGCCTTATCAACTGACAGATTTTTAAAATGTTGTATATCCATACAATAGAATGTTACTCAGAGATAAAAAGGCTTGAAATACTGGAATATGTCACAACATGGATAAATATTTAAAAAATTAGGTTAAATGGCCCTGGCTGGTTTGGCTCAGCCGTTAGAGTGTCAGCCCGCAGATCAGAGAGTCCTGGCTTAGGTTCCCACTAAGGGCAAGTACCTTGGTTGTAGTTTGTCCCTGTCCCAGCAGGGGTCATGTGGGTGGCAGCTACTTGATGTGTCTCTCTCATGTGGATGTTTCTCTCTCTCTCTTCCTTCCTTTCTCCCTCCTGCTCTATCTGAAGATAAATGCAGAAAACAAAAAAATGTCCTCAGGTGAGGATAAAAAAAGAAAATTAGGTTAAACGAAAGATTTCAAACACAGAAGGTCATATATTATATGATTTAATTTATATTAATGTCCAGAATAGGCAAATCCATAGGGAAGAAAGTAGATCAATGGTTGACAGGGCCTGTGGAAAGGGGAGAATAAGAAGTTACTGATAATTGGTACGGGGTTTGTTTTGGGGGTCATGAAAATGTTCTGGAATTAGTGATAATGGATATAAATCCTGTGACTAAAACACATTGAATTATATACTTTAAAGGGGTAAAATTTATAGTATGTGAATTATATCTCAATAATAAGATTAATGAATAAATAAAATACATGGTATACTATAATATGATGAGTATAGATTTGAAAGTCATTGTTGACATGATTCAGGCACTAATTAGTGGGGAGCCTAGTTAGTGGCTTCTCGTTAGCAAATTAAGGGTTTCGGCTAAATGATCTATAGGATCTTTTCAAAATCTGGTCTCCAGCGAGTCTCTCAATCCTTCTAGATGATCAGCAACTTCAAAGAAATTGTTGGAAAAGTCAATTCTAGAGTAAAATCCAGTCTTTACTCTCTTGATATCTCATTTAGGGGAGCTATATTTTTGAGTATTGGTCATTTGATCTATTTCCCTTATTATAAAGAACAACTCTGATTTGGTGGAAATTCTATTAGATTGTAGTTTCCCAAGGAGATTTCTGATGGACACTAAGAGAAATGCTGAAATTAAAGTAATTTGTAAAACTGATTATAACCATAAATGAGAGAACAGTTCTCCTAAGAGTTTAGTGAAGAAAAAACATGGATGGCTGTTGACTTTTTTGAGCCAAGTTGTGAACGTACATAGTAGTCAACGTTGACATGAAAGTCGAGGGTAAAGAATAGTGACTGCATACATTTTGTGAGGACACAGATTTTGCATAAGGCTTATTGCACAGAGGTTAAGAGACTGGGCTCTGCAACCACACTGTCAGGGTTAGGATCCTGGCTCCACACTTGCCACGCCACTTCATGCCTATTTCCTTCTCTGTCACATAGCTATAATTATACTTCCCCGAAAGGCTGTTTGGAGGATTAAATTAGATGATAGTTGTAAAACAGTGAGAACAGAATTTGAGCTATGGTAAGGGCTCAGCAAACATTAGCATAATCTACTTTCAGCCAATACTTTAAATGCTTGATGAATGTTTTTCTTTTATTTTCCTTTTTAGTAAATTTATTGGAGTGACATTGGTTAATAAAATTATATAGGTTTCAGGTGTACAATCCTATAATGTATCATCTGTATATAGTATTGTGTGTTCACCATCCCAAGTCAAGTCTCCTTCTATCACCATGTATCCTCTCTTTACCCTCTTCTACCTCCCCTTAGTCCCCTTCCCTCTGGTGATCACCACACTGTTGTCTGATGACCACACTGTTGTCTGTGTCTATGAGTTTGTGTTCATTTGGCATTGCTTGACAAATACTTGTTTTGTGTACAGTGTACTGTGTTCTAATCCAACTTTCCCAGTAGTTATTTCTTGTTAATACAATCAGATTTTTCATATTGTAAACAACTTTTTTTTTTTTTAACAGAATAAAAGCAAGAACAACTAACAAAATGAAGAACCTGATAATTATATTTGTCCTAATCTTTTGTACTGAAACAGTGGCAGATCAGAGCCCAGGTACTCATATATTTTATGCTTATTATTATTTAGGGAAGTAAACATTTTTGTTTCAACAAATCTTCACTTTAGTAAATAGAGAGAAACAAGGAATTTATTTATTTACTAAAAAATCAAAATAGACAGCACTTAGTTGTAGTTGGAGGTATACAACATCAAGCTAACTTAATCTCTGAAAGATGACAGAAAGCCATGGGCAAAAGTCATGAATTACTTGGCTAGAGACACTTTAATTATTCATTGATTTGCTTAAGTCCCAATGTTCCCTGTCTCTATGAATAGAGTCAACCGATTTGTTTTGTAGGTTAGTTTGCATTTTGGCTTTAATAAATTGAAGAAAAAATAAAAAAGGAACCCCATACAGAAATAAATTCTATGTATTTTTGTGGCTAAACCATTGCTTCCTTTTCTTTTATGAAAATAAAACAGGGAAGGGATATGTTTCATATGTATAGAATATAAAAGCTAGATTTTTCTACTCTCCTGCTACCCTAGGATTTTCTGATGAATTTCTGAGTTACTTTGGAAGACAGTTGTTAGACATTTACCAGAACATCCCTGATTTCATAAGTGGAAGTGACTGACCATGACTGGCCTAGATTCTTTTGATAGGGCTGGTGCACCAGCCCCTCCCCCCACCATCTCCCACCCCACCAGCTGCTGGGAGTATTGCCTGCAACAGCTCACAGCTGTACCCCATTTTCTCAAGAGAATTGCTCTCAGCTTTCCCAGAGCCATCTTACTCAGGAGGTTATCCCTCCAGTTCCTGATGAGGGTCTGCAGCCAATGTGACTGACAGGCAGTTGCAAAGAACTGTCCCTCTCGTTTCAAAGTATAATTGATACTCTAGTATAATTGATACTCCAGAGTCCCCTCCAATCAAGCCAAGGTAGGCATCCTGCTGTGCTCCTCTCCTGATTCCCTCACCCCGTGTCCCCTCAGTCAAGTCCTCCCCCAAATCCCCGTCTCAGATCTGCTTCTGAGCTTCCAACACAGGATAGCTACTTACTCGACACTGTTTCTAGAAGTTGCTGTAACTCCACAGACCACTCGGGGATTTTCTGGTATGTTTATTCTTTAGTACAATATCAGAGTTTGGGGTTCGACAAACAAAAAGAGAAAAAAAATGTTGATTGCTTCTGGCATAGAGTTGAGAAAGAAAAATGTATGGGCTAACTTTACAAAAGTCCTTTTGTTTGACACTTTAGCAAAAATGAGTACAGTTTCTTCTATTTGACATCCAGAAGGCACTTGCCTTGGTGTCTAAGTTACCGTTAACATTAAGACATAGTTTAAAGGAGGCCTGTGGTCTGAAAGGTAAAGGCTGAAGAATCACCTTGTTTTGGTTTGTCATTCTATCGTGATAGGCCCAGGCCCTCAGTATGCAGATGTCGTGTTTCTGGTGGACAGCTCTGATCACCTAGGAATCAAGTCCTTTCCTTTCGTGAAAACGTTCATCAACAAGATGATCAACAGTCTCCCCATAGAGGCCAGCAAATACCGCGTGGCGCTGGCCCAGTACAGCGACCAGCTCCACAATGAATTCCAGCTGAACACCTTCAAGGGCAGGAACCCCATGTTGAACCACCTCAAGAAGAACTTCTTGTTCATGGGCGGTTCCCTGCGGCTCGGAAACGCTCTCCAGGAGGCTCATAAGACCTACTTCTCTGCACCTGAGAACGAGAGAGACAAGAAACTGTTTCCCCCGATTTTGGTGGTCCTGGCTTCAGGGGAGTCCGAGGACGACGTGGAAAAGGCTTCCGAGGCTCTGCGCAAAGACGGGGTGAGAATCATCTCCGTGGGGCTGCAGAAAGCTTCGGAGGAGAACCTGAAGGCCATGGCCACGGCTCAGTTTCACTTCAACCTTCGGACGGTCCGAGACCTCAGCGCGTTCTCCCAGAACATGACGCAGATCCTCAAGGATGCGGCTCAGTACAAGGAAGGAGCAACTGACGCTGACATGAAAGGTTAGAAAGACTTTGGTTGACTGGTGCCCAGTCCCCGTGTGATCAGATCTGCGTCTCTCCTCCTTCATCTCTTCCACCTCCTGTTCTGGTTTTCATAATTAGCCAGACTGGAGTCCTGGAAATGTCTGCACGTCGAAGTCTACTCTTACTCCCTTCTCCCTTTGGTTCGTACCTTTTCTCTGGCAGGAACCCTCTTGCACATGTAGCTCTTATACAGCTTGAGTCACTCTGTTGTCATTTACATCTCAACCACACAGTCATATCCTGTGGGAAGGCTTTCCTTCCAAACCTCTTTCTGGGTCACAATTCCTTGTGCACACTTGGTGACAGCGCACTTCCCGTGCTGTATAATCACCTGTTTCTGTCTTGGTCCCCTCACCCCCAATGAACTGGTAGCACCCTGAGGGAAGAACTGGCAACTTATATTTCTTTATCTCTGTGTTCTTTGGGCCTACGCAGTGCCTGACAGTAAGCTGGTGTTCTATTTCTTTCTTTTTATTTTTCAATTGATTTTTATTTTTTACTTTTTTATTTTTATTTTTTTATCGTCACCGGAGGATATTTTTCCATTTTTTGTTCAGATAGAGTGGGAGGGAGAGAGAGGAAGGAGAGAGAGAGAAACATCGATGTGAAGGGGCACATTGAGTGGCTGCCACCCGCACGACCAACCAGGGCCGGGGACAAATTGCAACCGAAGTACGTGCCCTTAGCGGGAACCGAACCCGGGTCTCTCCAGACCGCAGGCCGACGCTCTCACCACTGAGCCAAACCGGCCAGGGCTCAATTGATTTTTAGAAAGCAAGGAAGGGAGAGAGAGAAACATTGATCGGTTGCCTCCCGCATGCTTCCTGACCAGGGATCGAACCCACAACTTAGGTATGTCCCCTGACCAGGAATCAACCTGCAACCCTTTGGTATACGGGACAATGCTCCAACCAGCTGAGCCACCCGGCCAGGGCTGGTGTTCTATTTCTTAATGAGTGGATACATGGAAGTCTTCTAGGTAAGGAAATACGATCTTTGTCTGTTCTCTTTCCTTTGCAGTCCTGGCTCAGTGCAAGGCGCACAGTAAATATCCAGTAAATGCCTGTCCATTAACAGATAGCAACAGTAATAGGAACAATGTCCTTAGAGTGAGGCCAGGCAGAGAAGGGGGGACCCTCATTGTACAGTAAGTAGTGCCATGCGGGGGGCTGAGTCTTGAGCCCTTTATATACTGTGTTGGCTCATCCCCTCCTTCACCATTTTTATTCCTTAGATCTAATGAGTGTCAAGATCTGCTAAAGCCAGACTCATTCTCTCTCCCATCCACGGAGTCGTTATGTGCTTATATTTTTCACATCTAAGACACATCTTTCTTTCACGTTTTCACGTTTTAAAAATATTAGGATCTGTCTTTCAGTTGTGCTTTTAAAAAAATAATTCCCAAGAGCTGCCATTCAATAATAGTGTATCTTACAGTAGATGGGATCTCTGATTTGGAAAATTATTGGAAATATTTCTGACGAGCTTATGGGTGAATGAGATCAATTAAAAGCAGTTCAAATTGAACTGACTCAGTACCCTCACTTGTATAATTTAAGCCCTTAGCTATCATATACCCTGTCGTAAAATTCTCCTCCATTTATTTTCTGAGTACCATTAAGAATGTTTCAAGTGAACCCTGGCCAGGTGGCTCAGTTGGTTGGAGTGTTGTCCCATATACCAAAAGGTTGCAGGTTCGATTTCCAGTCAGGGCACATACCTAAGTTGTGAGTTTGATCCCCGGTTGGGTTATGTATGGGAGGCAACTGATCGATGTTTCTCTCTCACATTGATGTTCCTCCTTCCATTCCTTCCTCTCTTCCTGTCTCTTTAAAATGAATGAAAACATATACTTGGGTGAGGATTTTTTTAAAAAAAGAATGTCTCACCCCTCCCGGTTTGGCTCAGTGGTTAGAGCATTGGCCTGCGGTTGGAGAGACCCGGGTTTGGTTCCCGCTAAGGCCACATACCTCGGTTGCAGTTTTTCCCCAGCACTGATTGGGTTGTGTGGGTGGCGACCACTCAATGTGTCCCTTTCACGTCGATGTTTCTCTCTCTCTCTCTCTCTCTCTCTCTCTCTCTCTCCCTCCTACTCTATCTGAACAACAACAAAAAAAGAATGTCTCAAGTGACAGCACAGACCTGTCATCTCAGGTGCCATTATTCCTTTGAAGTCTGTGTGTACAAAGCTGCTTGAGAGTGATACCTTACTGAGGTCATTGCGACTGGCTTCCTTTGAGGGAATGCTGATCCCCAGGCCAGACAGCCATCTGGTATCTCTAAGCTTCCACCCATCAGAGCTGCCTGTTGCCATAACTGCCTTCTTTCCATCCCCTGGGAAATCCCTGTATTTCATTCTTGATTCCCTAGGCCAAATGAGAACTACTTATGACCCATGACTCAGAACTTCTCACTTGAAAAATGCTTTATTTGTGCCTTAAACAAGTTCTCTATGAAAACTCCAAAACAGAAGACTCTTGAATACAACTTACTTGGGAGATGACTTACTTGGGAGATGATCACAGAAAGCATTAGTAAGGTGTAGGCAAAATGAGATAGGAAGCTACACATGTGGTATCCATGAGCAGGTAAAACAGCCAGTATACTACTCAAAGGAGGTGCTCAATAAGTGTGCTGTACCAGTGAGAAGCTCCAGTCATTTTTCTCCAAAGTAAGGTAGAAAGAGTCCCCAGCATAATGGATTTTCCTGGCTGCCTCTGTGCAGAGTTGGCCATGGCGGGCTATTCCGAGCAGGTGCTATCTACTACTAAGACTCAAAGAAGTCACTTGGTGTGGTACAAAGTGCCCTGACCACAAGGTCAGAAGATCCGCACAATGCCACTAGCTGACTATGTGAACTTGGAGAGATGATGTCATCTCTCCAAGCCTTGCAGTGGCATCTTCCTATGTAAGACACAGGGTTTGGGGTGACCTTGAAACTCCCTTCCTGCTCTACCATTCATCACTTCCATGACTATAGCTATGGGCTGATTTTGTAGTCAGACCAGGCTAGGCTTTAATAACAAATAGACTCCCTAAATAATAAAAAGCTTATTTATTTCCCTTGTAATGTCATCGGGCCAGAGCTCCAGGTGACCAGTTGTCTTTTCTTTATTCAGATACACAGGCTGGTGGTGGCTCTTCTATATTCCAATATGACTTCCAAGGTGCCCTGGGAATCGATGTGCAGCTGTTAGAAGGGAAAAAGGATGGAAGATCATGGGAAGGTTTTATGGGCTAAGCTTTGAAGAGACACACACTAACTACTTCTGCTCACATTTCGTTAGCCAGATCTTAGTCCCATGGTCGTACCTAACTGCAAGCGAGGCCAGGAAATCAGGACTAGTTCTAAGCCCCAGCAGAGGAAACTGATTCCAGTGAGTATCTAGAAGGCTCTGCCACAGTTAGTATTGTCCCTGAGGCACCAGGGAGTCCATTCCCTCCATTCTCCTCATCCCTCACTCCTTGTCTTACAGGAAATAGAAAATTCTTACAGGATTTGTGTACCTCTTCCCAGAGGAAAAAACCTTCCTGTTACCTTCTACCTTGGGGACCTTGGAGATTTTCCAACCCTGTAGGCAGCTGCTTAGCCTGGGCTCTCCAGGACAATAGGGCTTTTCCACTTTCTTAGAGGGTTCTGCAGAATGTGCTTCTCTCATGTCTCCTAATTTACTTCGCAGCAGTACAGCACAAAACGTTTTCTTGACAGGACCCTATCCTTGCCTTTAGGGGGTATGAAGAAGAACTTTGCTTTGAAGGCAGGAAGATCTGGGTCAAACCCTGGTTTGACCCTTCAGGGTCTTGAGTAAGTCACCTCACCTCTGAGCGTCAGTGTTCTTACCTATAAAGCAAGGATAACAGTGACCAACTTATCTGGGTGAGATGGCTCGTATGGCATTTGGCACACAGGTTGTTATTATTAATAATTTACAGATCAATACTCCCCTGGACAACCCAACTATGTAGGGTTCAGAGTACATTGGCAGATATATGAGACTTATTTTTACTTTTTATTTTTAAATTTATCTTTATTGTTGAAAGAATTACAGGTTTCTCCCCCCTCTTCCCCCATTTACTCCTTCCACCCCACTCCTGCCCCACCCCGCAGGCCTTCCCTGCACTATTTTTAATTCCACAAAGATTTCTGGGCTCCCACCAGGCACCAGGCATGGCTGGGACTGAGATGAGTGAGATGTTCCATCTGGCTTCTGGAGCTCACAGTCCTAATGGGTAGTTCTTGGCAAGACTGAGCTTATCTGTCAGCTATAGTTTCCTCAGTTGTGGTCCCTCCACCTGTGCTCAGAGTAGGCGTTTTATGCGCACATGCTGTACTCTCCCCTCGATCCCAGATCGTATAACCAACTGTCTACCTGGCACATTCGATAGCACCCCAAACTTAGCATGTCTGAAATGGAATTCTTGAATTGTCCCTGCAACTTGTTCTTCCCACTTGTCCTTCTCATCTTGGAAAAAGACACCACCAACATCCATTCAGCTGATGAGGTAAAAACAAAAAAACAACAACAAAAAAAATTAGTAGGAGTTTTCACCACTTTCTCTGTCTCTCAGCACTTGTATTCCATTTAATCATCAAGTCCTCTCTGTTCTGCCTCTAATTCCTTTATCAAAACTACCCTTGTTTCATCTTATTGACTGTTATCCTTCTCCAAGAATCATTAGCTCTTTCCTGGACTAGAGTGGCTGTTTCCTAATTGAGATCCCCGAATTCATTATTTTCTCTCAGCAACTGGGATGATATTTCAAAGATTTAAATAAGATCATGTGATGCTCTTACAATTTGGTTCCCACCTCTCTCTGACTTCGTTCATCATTGCTCCCCTCACTCACTGGCTCCAGCCACACCGGGTTTCTTGCCTGTTCCTACCTTCTATTGTTCATTCACTTGAATTCTTCTTTCCTCAGAACATGTGGCTGAATCCTTCTCTTCATTCATTTCTCCACCCAAATGTGATCCTCTCAGAGAGGCCTTCCCTGACTTCTTTAAGTCTCAGAGAAGTTCGTTCCCACCCTACATCCCCAGCAGAGTAACTCACTTGAGTCACCTGTTTTGTTTCCTTGCTAGCACGTATTACCTTCTGAAACAATAGAATCTAGTCATCTGTCCTCCCCATAGACAGTGGTTCTCAACCTTCCTAATGCCACAACCCTTTAATACATACAGTTCCTCATGTTGTGGTGACCCCCAACCATAAAATTGTTTTCATTGCAACTTTATAACTGTAATTTTGCTACTGTATGTCTTAGGTGACCCCTGTGAAAGGTCGTTCGACACTCAAAGGGGTCGCGACCCACAGGTTGAGAGCCGCTGCCATAGACTGTGAGTTCCTGAGGTCAGAAATATTTCTAACTCATCTTTGTATCACAGCACTTGAGAATGGTAATAGTGATTGCGGTGGTGATCATATTGGTGATGGTGAAGGAGGTGGTGGTGAAGAAGGTGGTGGTAATGGTAGAGGTGGTTTTGGAGGTGGAGGTGGTGGGGGGTGGAGGTTGGTTGGTTATTATTGATGGTGGTTGTTGGTGGTGATGGTTGGTGGTGGTGGTAGTCATATTGGTGGTAGTCATCTTAGTCATGAAGATCATGATGGTGGGGGGTGTGGTAAGAGAACTGGTAAGAAGCATTCTTCAGAAGGAGGGAACAGCATTGCAAAGCCTCTGAAGTCAGTCAGTCTTGCTCATAATTTTTATCTTTTGTTTATTTAAAGAAAACAATGTATCATGACTACCTCTGCTTTCACTAATGCCTTTGGCAATCTGTGAACTACCTTTCTCACTCTGTGCTGGTGGGCCATACTAATTCTCATACTTTTTCTCTCTCCATAGTTTCCTCCCCTGTGACCTGTCAGAAAGATTCACTGGCTGACCTTGTGTTCCTGGTGGACGAGTCCATTGGGACCAGACAAAATCAAAGGCACCTGCAGAGCTTCCTGAAGAACATTACTGCCTCCCTGGATGTGAGGGACAACTGCATGCGGCTGGGACTTATGAGTTACAGCGATAAAGCCGAGACGATTTCTTTTCTGAAGTCAAGTACAGATCAGTCTGTGTTTCTGGAGCAAATCCAGAAGCTCTCTTTCCGGTCTGGGAATTCCAATGCCGGGGCTGCCATTGAGAAGATGAGAAGGGAAGGATTCTCAGAGTCCAGTGGCAGCAGAAGGGCCCAGGGGGTGCCTCAGATCGCGGTCCTCATCACTCACAGACCCTCAGACGATGAAGTGCGCGAGGCCGCAATGAAACTCCGTCAGGAGGGCGTCACTGTGTTTGCCATAGGCACCCGAGGGGTTAACAAGACCCAGTTAGAAGAAATAGTCTCTTACCCTCCAGGACAGACGGCTTCCGTGCTGGAGTCCTATGCACACTTGGAAACTTACAGTACGAACTTGCTGAAAAAGGTCCAGAATGAAATATGGTCCCAAATTTCTACTCTTGCTGAACAAATGGATCTTGACAAAACTGGTATGTTTAAAAAAAACACAAAACTTTCTTCTTATAAAAGGAACATGAGTAATTGCCTAGGGCTGGGGCAGGAGTGAGGATTAACAGCATAGATAAGGAAACTTGGAGTGATGGAAATGTTCTGAAACTAGATTTTGGTGCTGGCTGCAAAACTTTATAAATTTACTAAATGTCACTGAATAATTATAATGTATAAAATTTTCAGCATGTAAACAAATCACGCCTCAATAAAGTATAAGAAACTAAACTGTGTTGATTATAAAATAGTTTAATAGTATTGATGAACATAAAGGAGAAAATAAGATAGGCTGTCATCCAATCTTTCAGATAAAACCATTCTTAACATGTATTCCTCTTGCCTTTTAGGTTACTTGTTGTATCAGTTACAATTACATTTAGGTGACTAACAAAAGAAAAATGACAGTGATTTAAACAAAATAAAACTAGTTTTCTGTTTTATAAGTCCCGAGGTAAGCAGATGGAGCTGGTGTGGTACACTGGTTGGTTCTCTCTCTCTCTCTCTGTTTGTGAACTTTATTCCAGGATCATACTCCAAGTTAACTGCTCCAAGCATCACATTCACACCCAGCAAGCAAGAGAAATGAAAAGTAAGGAAAAGGACAGGCTTCCACCTCCTCTTCTCCAAGAATAGTCTCCGAAATTACGTTTACCATTTCTGTTGACATTCCATTGACCAGAACTTAGTCACATGTCACACTCAGTTGTAAAAATGGGAGACTGAACTTGTAGTCTTTATTTGGGGCAGCCAAGGTAAAATTTTTACCTAGATGAAAATGGGGGGGGGGGGGCGTTCATTTAGTTTAGAAGAAGTAGAAAATGGGTACTGGGGATATCACTGTTATCTGCCTTACCCACTTCACTTCCCTATCAAACTATGTCATGCACTGTGGTCCTTGTCCTTAAATATCCTTTTGCAACATTCCTTTAAAGTTGGGAATCAGATTCCATCATAACATGATTTGTTTCAAATATCCTAAATTGTTGGATATATAGGCCATTGCCAGTGTTTTACTTATAAAAGTCTTTCAGGGATCACCCTTATGCACAACCATGATTATTTTCTCGCTTTTCAATCTTTATTATTATTATTTTTTTCTTCCATCACTATAGTGAAGGGTATTCCAGTTAAGATGCTTTGTGAATCTGCTATAGTTTTACCGAGTTCTTTTCAAAGGTACATGGCAAGAGATATTTGATGTGACTTTCAGTTGAGCTAATTCTGGGATATCTGCTGTCTTCACACTTTTACTCTGTAGATAACATGCTTCCAAACCATTGGAACTGGAATTTGGCAGCACTCAAGTAGAAGATAATTGCAATCGTCCAGTGATGTTACAGGCCCATTTTAAACTCAGACCAGTCAATTAAAGCTTTAAGGAACACCTCCTGAGCAGTCCTGGGTTTCTTCTGGCACATGTACATTCAAGGCAACAGCAAGGAACAAGTCCACTATTGCCTCCTGGGTGATACAGAGGAGACTCCCGCAGAGTGCCAGCCACCTTGCTCTGCTCCCAACCATTAGGGCATGGAAGGGATGTGTAGTGTGGTCTCAGGACATTTGCAATGATGTGACCAAAAACTACTATTGTCATTATAGAATTTCTAAATGGGAAGATGCAGGACCATGCCTAGTGCAAGGGCCACCCAAGAGGATGGCTATCTTTTATAAAACCTCAATAGGTGACTTCTTATTAATTTAGTGGCTCTCAAATATCAGTTCATGACTTAGATTGGATTCCTCAGAAGCCAAACAAAAATGTATGTGAAATTGCAGTCAGGCCCCAATGAACTCATGCTAGCAATATTTGAGAACTACTACATTAGTGAATTTTCCATGGACTGGAAGGTGGTGGCCACTGTTGTTTCAGAATGGTCAAACACAGAGAAGCATTCTATATTGACCTGGTCACTGCTGTATCTACCACATCTAGCACCTAGTAATATTCAGTCTGCTAAGCAGAACTTCATTACATCAAGGGGAGACTCACAGCAAAATCAAGAGACTAATGTATAGAAAAAGAATGCTAAATATCTTTATAGTAAAAGCTATCAAAGCCCAGGAGCCTGAACATCCATGTCCTCTGAGAAGTATATTCTCTCCCTGTTGTCATGACAAATGAGAAGCTGCTTTGTAATCAGACTATCAGAGGTTGTGGGAGCACAGCAAGGAGGTTGGTTTTATCATTGAAATGTCTAGTAGCATCCAATTGGGTGGATGACTATTTTAGAATCAAATATATAGATCCTTTTTCTCTATAACTATATAGGTGAATCCTGGGGCCAGGGCATACATTCTTCAACACTGTCTAATCAAATGTTTTGTGATGGTGGAAATGTTCTATAATTACACTGTCCAGCGTGACAACCACTAACCACATGGGGCTGTTAAGCACCTGAAATGTGGCATGACTGAAGAGCTGATTTTTAAATTTTATTTAATTTGAAAATAGTTTAAATTTAAGTTTACAGTTTAATAGCAACATGTGACTAGTGGCTAGTGTATTGGGCAACCCAGCTCCAGGCAGGGTTGGATGGGCATTGCCATGGTTATCTACCGTGACTCACGTTTTTCTCTCCTTCATTGCTGAGGGTTGCTATCTTCTTTCTGAAAACACCTAATTCTTCTTTAGCAGGTATATCAATCAATTAATTCTGGTTGCTGTCAAGTTTTGCTGGCCTAGGATCAAGCCTGTCTGTTGCAGATAACTGCTTCTTTAGCTTTGCCCTAATGATTTATGTGTTGATTTCACAGTTTAAGTCTCAGGGTCAGACTTATTTCCAGTATTTCTGATTTCTTAAGGACCAATTCCCCATAGCTTGAAGTACTGTCAATAGCTATAAATTCCCCCCAAAACTGTCAAGAAACAAAATATTTCTGAAATGACTAAATTGTATTTTAAAGATCTTTTCCCATATTCAACCAGATAATTGCATAAACAAACTAGATTTTAAAAGTATGTTTTTTCTCCTCCCTGGTTGCAGTGTATGATTAGATAGAGTTGTAAATAGACTGTTAGGAAAGTTAAAGCACTTTTTCATAGAATCTGCTGAACAAAGGAAGAAACATTGAGAGCTCTTTTATTTAAAAATTTCTGTTGAAATTTTGTGATGTACCAGGCCAACTGGGTAGAAGCAGAGAACTCAGCAAAGTCTCTGCTTTGATGGAGCTGATATTCTGTGGGAAAAACAAAACAAAACAAAAAACAGGCTGTGCTCATGAACAAATGAATAAGAAAATTTCAGAAAGTGATGGGAGTCATAAAGAAAATAGGATAGGCAATGATTGATATGCTTTAGTTGTAGGTAAAGAGAAGGTGTTTTTGAAAAACAGACATTTGATTTGGTACATTCATGATGAGATGAGAAGGAGTCTTGTGAGTCTTGGTTGGAAAGAATATTCCAGGAAGAGAGGGGGCCAGTGCAAATGCCCCAGGGCACATTCAGAGCACAGAAAGAAGCCCAGTGTGGTTGCAGCGCAGTGAGTAAGACGAAGAATTGTTGGCAATAGGGTCAGAGAGGAAAGCAGGGGAAAAGATCAGGCCAATTTTTTATTTTTAAATTCTGAATGTAATAGTAAATCATTTAAATAGAACATAATATGACCTGGTTCTAGTTTCAAATATATTGTCCTAGTTGCTCTGGGAAGAGGGGGTTATGGGGGGAGTAAGAACAGCAGGTCCAACCCTGTTTTTCAAGAAATGATAAGGCATAACTATCTAAAAAGGAAGATGTCACTACTAGAAAAATGATTTGACTTAGAGCCTGAAGACTTGGGAATCCGGTCCTTACTCTTTAATTTACTGGCTGTGTGTTCTTACTCTTAGACAAACCACTGGGCCTCACTCTGCTTCAATTTCCTCACACAGTTGTTGCAGATCTCAAAGGAGAAAATGGGCATGAATGGGCTCAATGAAATGTACCGGCCCTGTGCCAACCGGAAGTGTCCTCATTCCTTACAACCTTTACAGCTTCATGACCTCGACAAGCCCACTTGCAAATTTCTCTCCAGAATCTTTATAATTAATGAAGAATGCACTTTCATTTTTTATTCCCCCCCCCCTTTTTTTTTGCAGGCTGTGTGGATACAAAAGAGGCCGATTTCTATTTTCTCATTGATGGCTCTACCAGCATCCAGAAAGAGCAGTTTGAGCAAATCAAGGAATTTATGTTGGGGGTAATCGACATGTTTAACATTGGCCCAGACAAAGTCCGAGTTGGGGCTATGCAGTATTCACATAAGGTGAAAGTGGAATTTGACATTCACGTTTATACTAATGATGTGGACTTAAGACAGGCTGTTTCAATCCTCAAGCAACTCGAAGGCAGTACTTCTACTGGGACAGCCCTGAAGTCCATGCTGTCAATGATAATGGAGGGAAGGAAGCATAGGTCAAGCAGGGTTCCCTGCCACCTCATTGTGCTGACTGATGGGAGGTCTGATGATGACGTCCTGAAACCTGCTGAGAATTTAAGGGCTGAACAAATCACCATTCATGCTATTGGCATTGGGCAGGCTAACAAAACACAACTGCTACAAATTGCTGGGAATGAAGAAAGGGTTAACTTTGGGCAGAACTTTGATTCTTTAAAAAGCATCAAAAATGAAGTTGTTCGTAGCATCTGCACCGAGAAAGGTAAGCAAAACAAAAAAAGCTTTATTTTCCATACTTCATTAGTTGCTTCAGGGAGACTGGTAGTCAGGCTGAGACTCGGGGTGAATCGACCAGTTGTCTGGTTAGCATTTTGCTAACTTCCCTTATCACCAAGGAAGGATTCAGCCCTTACTTTAAACCAGGTACCAAGAATGGGGACTTTCTCCATAATAGACAGCTGTCCTGAAGCCACCTTGAAAGTCAGAAGTAGGAAGGTTGCTAAGAATTTTGTGGCCTTGACCAAGCCCACTGCTTTGGTGTATACGAGACTATTCTGTGTGTGTGTGTGTGTGTGTGTGTGTGTGTGTGTACATGAACTTGTACTAGTTGAGGCAGATGAGTACAGTGCAAAGAAAATGGGCTCTGGCTTTAGGTAGATGAGGGTCCCACTCACTTTTCCACTTGAGCTTTAAATGTCCCCCTCGACGAGGATAATACCTACAACAGAGAATTCTTACAGGTTTAGCATAGTACACACCAACAATTGTTTCTCTTTTATGAATGCATATCCTAGTCTATATGTTACTATTATTTATTTTTATTTATAACACATATTTACATTTTTGTTTCAACTACAAATTAAGTCATAAAAGTTAGGAAGAACAAATTTTCAAATTCCTATACCATATCATTTTTGTCTTATTAATAATAGCCACTTACTAACTGAAGATAGTATGAGTTGATTGCTAGTATTTGCACATGAAAATATTGTCTACTGAGAAGCATAGGAGAAGGGATGCTGCAGTGTGAGAGTCAGAGTTCACCCCCAGCTTTATCACTTAGCTGTGGACCTGGAATAGGTTACTGACTGTCTACCTTCCCTAGTCCCTTGTGTGCAGCCTTATTGTGAAGCTTACAGGTAATACTAAATGTGGAACAGCTACAGAGTTCCTTATGTATTGAGTGCTACATGAATTAGCTATTATAAAAATTGGTTAAGGTGTTCACTGAGGAGGAAAGGAAGAGAATTCTCACTTATCTGAACTTACAAAAGTGAAAAATGTGTTGGGATTTTCTCTGAGTCCCTCAAATCAAAAGTAAAATGAATAAGCAAATAAGTAGCATTCGTAACAATATCCTAAATTACAGTTTTGTTCATTGTTCGCTTTGTCATGGGTAGTAATGTTATGAACAGAGTTTAGTCTTAGAATGAAATAGTACAAGGTCCCGAACATTTTTGGGGATTGATGTCCAGAGAAGCAAAAGGGTTTTGGGAACATTAAGTAGATTGTGCCTCAGGTCCTCTCAAGGGAGAAGGTCCTGGCTCAATCTGAGGAGCTGCAGAAATCTCTTGCAGGTCAGGTAGTTACAGTTTACGTGCCTGAACACTGGCACACCTGAAGGAGGAGGCGAGCTGTGGACAAGGAAATGAGCCATAAGATGGTAAACAGAGAGGCAGAAAAACTAAGGGGCCAAGGCTGAGGGTCTAGAAAAACACTGACTAGTCTCAGAGTAGATGTGGATAGAGTGAGACACAGTGCATTGGCTTGGGGGGAAATAAAGTGGCTGTAACTATACAACACAGAATATTATTTCTTTCTTGCATAATAGTCCAAGGTAAGCAGTCCAGGTCTCGGAGAGAGGCTGTTCCATGCTCAGTACAAAGCTTCCGGCTTTAAGTCCAAGTGAAGCTCCAGTTCTCATGACCTTGCATTTGTGAACAAGGAGAAAGGGCCAGGGGAGCCCACCATGCTTAACTGTTGTAATGTTAAAACCCAGAAGCGGTCAAATCACTCTTGCTTATGTCTGTTGACCCAAACTTAGTGATAGGACCACTTCAAGGAAGGCTGGGAAATAGTCTTTACCTGGGCAACCATATATACCTAGCTGAAACTTGACTGTTAGAGAAGAGTGGGAGAGCAGATATTAGAAGACAAGCAATGGTCTCTGTTACAAATAAATACAAGGAGGTAGAGCCTGCGAATACTAAACCACATGTAAAAGTCTACTCCTCAGAAAGTTGCAAACAGACATACTTCATAGCAGTGGGACTTTGCCAAGGCCACACACATCACATCCATCTCCCTATTTATGACTTTCAAGATGGCCCCGGGGAGAACTGGGTCTCAAATGATGGCTTTAGCCCCTTGTGGTGGGCCTTACATAATACAAGTGATTAAAAAATAACTAGCATCTTTTTATTCTTCTATGGCTGATGCTAATTGTTCATTTTCAAATAGTATGGGATAGACTCTGAGTATTGCGAGAGAGGCTATTGAGATAATGGCAGCGATAAGAGACAGATAAAAGGGATAAGACTAAATAAATACATGCTAAAGACAATGTATTTTATATATATACTTATACACACATCACCATCTGTACCATGAATTAATAACACTGTTTTTATGTTTGACTTATGGAAATTGGTCTTCTGTGTGTGTGTGTGTGTGTGTGTGTGTGTATGCCAATTCTCGTCAAGAAATTGTATGTATAAATAAAGGAACAGTCCATGTTGAATAGGTATGGGCTTTCTGATGCACTGATCTCTAGTAAAAGCTTTTCATCCCAATTTTTAATATTCATTTATAGTGTTTATCAAATCACTTTAAATTATTCCAGAAAATAATTGTATGTAAATACTACCTAAAACATTTTTAAACAATGTACATGAAACATCAGAATATTTGCCCTATGAGTGCAGGGAATTGATTGCCTTATCTCTGATTTATTTTAAAAAAATTGTTGCATCCTTAGCACATAGCTTGATGATTGGCATTTAATACACTTCAAGAATTGAGAATGAATAAATGAATGATGCATGCATGAATAAATGAATGTACACTGCTTATTTAAGTTTATTATTGATTTATAGAGAGAGAGCGGGAGGGGGGGGCGAGGACATTACTATGAGAGCAGAATATCGATTAGCTGCCTCCTTGCATGCCCTCTACCAGGGATCAAGCCCACAACCTTGGCATGTGCAACCTTTTGGTGCACAGGACGATGCCCAATCAACGGAGCTTCACCAACCTGGGCTGAATACAACATGGTTTGTTACATTTCTTCTTTGAAACTTCCTGGATAATCTTTATTGGATTTCTGATTTAGGGTTCTAGTCATCAGACTTTTACTAAAGAAGTGAATAAAATTTTCAAAAGTACTAGCAGTTGCTTGCATTAATTTTTGATGTTTTCTAATTAATGTATTTGTTTCTGCTTTGCTGTTTCTACATATTCTGAGAACCTTGCCAACCTAGTTTGTTTCTGATCTTTTTGATAACATGCAGGATGCGAAGACATGAAGGCTGATGTCATGTTTCTGGTGGACAGTTCTGGCAGTATAGGTCATGACAATTTTGAGACAATGAAAATCTTCATGAAGAATGTGTCAGCTAAGATTCAAATTGGTCCAGACAAAACTCAGATTGGTGTCGTTCAGTTCAGTGGTCATAATAAGGAAGAGTTCCAGCTTAATAAATACTTTACGCAAAAAGAAATTTTTGATGCAATAGACAGAATGTCTCTCATTGGCCAAAATACTAAGACTGGAGGTGCACTAACGTTTGTAGATGAATATTTCACCCCTCCCAAGGGAGCCCGTCGTGAAGTAAAAAAGTTTCTCATTCTTATCACGGATGGAGAAGCACAGGATAATGTGAAAGACCCTGCTAGAGCTCTTCGGGACAAGGGTGTGGTCATCATCTCTGTGGGCGTGTATGGTGCCAATAGGGCTCAGCTAGAGGAGATCAGTGGGGTTGGCAGCCTGGTCTTCCATGTGGAGAACTACGATCACCTAAAGGAAATAGAAAATAAACTCATCTTCCATGTGTGTGCTCTTTATGGTAAGTGACTCTGTTATTCTTCAGGATTCAAGGATATGAGATGTTGACTTTATAGTGAGGTGAACAGTGGGTTGTACTCTGGGCTTGGCCTGTAACTGGACTTCGGTGTTAAGTTTTGGTCTTATCTATGTTATATCCAAACACTCATGACTTTTGAGGATACTTCAGATGAACAATTTTGGCAACAAAATGAATTTGGCTTTGCTGACTTTAAATACATTTTAAGAAGGTTGCAGAATCTTACATTAAACTTCCTACTCCTCCGTACCTAGATTTCCCAGAGCCAAATTTTAATACCAAATGATTCTCCAGAGAATCACCCGAGGACCTTTTTCCATTTTTTTGTTCAGATAAAGTGGGAGAGGGAGAGAGAGAGAGAAAAAAAATCGATGTGAAAGGGACACATCAAGTGGTTGCCACCCGCATGACTCAACCAGGGCCGGGGACAAACTGCAACCGAGGTACGTGCCCTTAGTGGGAACTGAACCCGGGTCTCTCTGGACGGCAGGCCGACGCTCCAACCTCTGAGCCAAACCAGCCAGGGCATCTACACTATTCTTAAACAGTAAATAATTAGAAATACAAATTTATCTTCCTATCAGTTAAATTAAATTCAGTATTCTGAGCATCCCCTTCCAAAAAAGCCCTTCTGTTTAAAGATATAGTATGTATTTTCATTACTTCACATTATTATGCTTAACCTCTATCAGTGAGGTATTTTACATTTGCTTGTTCATGTATCTATCCCTTTATAAAATTTAAAAAATTAAATTTTTATTTTTGTTAATCCTCACTCGAGGATATTTTTCCATTGATTCCTAGAGTGGAAAGGAAGGAAAGAGAGAGAGAGAAAAAAACATTGATGTGAGAGAGACACATTGATTGGTTGCTTTTTGTGTGAATCCTGACCATGGCCAGATGCAACCCAGGTACATGCCCTTGACCGGGAATCGAACCTGAGACCCTTTGGTCTTTGGGCCAGTGCACTAACCACTGAGGACAAACCAGTCAGGGCCCTTTGGAAAATTTCAATTTATTACCTTTTTTTAATGATTGCTTGGATGGATCATTTTTATTCAACAAATTATACTTCTTTTCAAATTGTATTGAGCAACTTTCAATTTCAGGTTGTCAAATTTAATGACTCTTCAGTGAGAACTTCACATGAATTCACATCTAAGGTTTTCACACCTGCATTTTGGATACAAGAGAACAAACCAAAGTATTAGTAACTTTGCTGTATTTTGTTCCCCTGGCAACATAGAGACCTTTTTTGGGCTTCATTCTTCAGAATTATGTGTGTGAAATTTTCAGGAAGATGACAAAATGTCTCAGTATAAACTCTGAGTTTTAGGCAATAGTGCTAAGGTTTCTCTCATAACAATTTAATTGGAGTTTTTTTCTTTTTCTAAGAATGGCAATGATTCCAAAATTCTTGGTAATGTTGAGACATTTTAAGAAAAGCTTACCCGAAGACCACAGCCCCACCTTTGAAATCCACAGGGCTCTTCCTGGCATTTCTTCATTTTGATAAATATAATGTTTGTGGAGGCCCTGTCTATAGCGTAAGGTGAAATTTCAGCTGACTCATATAAGCTGGACTGATAAAATATTATTAAGTCATGCCTAGTCACCAATCTCATTATCAACTAGGCATGACTTGATAAATATTTATGATTGAGTTTCTAGATCTGTAGGATCCTGTGTTATTGCCCCGAGTTCCTACGTAGATAGATTGGCCTCATCCACGGTGTCTTAGACTTGAAAATTTGAGATCTTATTGCCAGAAATAAGGATGGGAGGTATGATAGACAGGTGGAAAGTAGAAAAAGGGAAAAGAGGCGAGAGAAAGTCCACGCTTTGGAGGCCAGTCCAAATAGTCACTTGGCATCTAATGTGCAGGAAGGAGGGCTTGGGGCTAGGGATGAGGAGGTCAGAGCCTTAGCTCTACCCCAACGTGGGACCACTCCTTTTCTGAGTTGTAATTCAGGAGGTCAGTGGAAGGAGCAGAAATAAAAGTGGTGAGGCATGGTACACATGGGAAAATTTGCCTTTCAGAAGCTGAGAAGGTAGCTGGAGCCAAAGGAGTACAAATACAATATAAGTACAATACAAATCCAGATTCTGCAATGAGTCCCAGAGCTGTTTAAAACAGCAGGTCAGTTTGGCAAACATCAGTCATGTCTCACCATTATGCTGACTTTGAACTAACTACCTTCTGATATTTCCTTCCAGTTGAAAGCCTGCTTAGCAAAAAGCATTACACGGGCTAATGAGATATAGCAGAACAGAGTGGTGTGGCATAAGAACCATGGCTAGTGGGGTCATAAAGATAAGGATACAAATGTCCTTGCAGTCATGATCTGGCCAAGTTGTACATCTCTGAACCTCCACTTGTCTCTCTGTAAGATGGCAACAGCCACCTCTAAGAACTAAGTGAGATGCAGTGTTTGGCATATAGTAGATTCACGAGAAATGTTGCTCTCCTTCTCAGCTATCTGTGTGGGGGAGAATTTGTGATGCCTGCTTCCTTATTCTTTCAGATTGTAAAAGTATCAGAAAGTTAGACGTTGTGTTTGTGCTGGATCATTCAGGCAGCATAAGTTCAACACAGCGAGAAAGCATGATTAACCTGACTGTCCATTTGGTGAACAAAGCAGATGTTGGCAGGGACCGAGTTCAGTTTGGAGCTGTCAGATACTCTGATCAGCCTGAGGTTCTTTTCTACCTCAATACATACTCAACCCGATCAGCAGTCGTTGAGAATCTGAGGACACCCAGGGCCACTGGTGGTAACACCTTCACTGCCCTGGCTCTCAATTACACGGACGTCCTGTTCACGGAGCAATATGGCAGCCGCATCAAGCAAAATGTGAAGCAGATGCTGATCATCATCACTGATGGGGAATCCCATGACCGACATATGCTCAATGACACAGCATCGAAATTAAGAGACAAAGGCATCGTCATCTATGCAGTGGGTGTAGATAAGGCCAACCAAGATGAACTTGAGACTATGGCAGGGAATAAAAACAACACTATCCATGTAAGTGATTTTGACAAACTGAAAGATATTTCCCTGACTCTACAAGAAAGTATATGTACCAATGCACAAGAAGGTAAGTTGTCATTTTTAAACTTTCAATGGGGGTAGCAGTAAAAATTTAAGCAAAATGTAAATTGTGTCATGGCTTCCAGTTGCTGGGGTACCATGGGCTGAACACTTCTCTGCTTAGGCTACGTGTTTTTCTCATCTCTAAAACAAATGCATTGATTGAGCAAGATCCTAAAGGTCCCTTCCCCCCACGGTATGCATTGAAGAGATGATAGAAGATTTCAGAAGCTCTCCTTGCTGTCTCGCCACCCTGTTGCCTTTTTCTTGGCAGAAGGGAGCTCTCCTTTAGATCGTATTCACCTTACCCCATTTCCTGGCTATTGTGTGCGGTTTCATTTGCTTAATGGTCTCAAAGCAGCCACTGGGCATCAATTTCAAGCCAAACTTAAGTGGAGAGTTACATGGTTTAAACAGATAATCTTTTGTCTTCAAAGGCCCAGGGCCCTCTAAATGGGATTATAGGCATTCTTCAGAGCCATAGGAAGTTCAAGTGGTCTAATATGCTTTTCTGGATGAGGGCCACTAGTACAGAGGGAAGAATATGGGAGTTTAATGTGGGATAATGGAGACTGGCTGCTAGGAACAAGGAGGGAAGGGGCCTGAGCTGATTCCATGAGGTATCATTGTTAGGGTGGGCTGGAGGCATCATAGCTGAGTGAGGAGAAGGTAAGATTTGCCACCTGAGCTCAAAGCAGCAGTAATTGACAAGTCATCTAGGGAGGCCTCCTTGGACAGTGAGAATCCTGGCCATGGATTGGCCCAGTCCTGAAAACCTGGCAAATGAATCAATCAATTAATTTTCTTCCTTCTTTGCTTCTTCACTTCCTTCCTGCAGACTCCCCTCTTCTTCCTTTTCTCCTTTCTTCTTTACTCTCTATCAGTATGAAATATAACACAAATCATGATTCTAAGACTGAGAATAACCCATCTTTCATCTCTGTAAGCAGTTCAAACCCAAACAAAAGCTTCCCCCAATCCTGTGTCAGATCAACATTTGCTGTGCAGAAGGAAACAATGTCTGACCACTATAACTCTACCTCATGTAAGCAATAAATTCATCTTCTTGGTGTTGGACTCTGAGTGATGGTATCACCTTAAAGAAAAAAGGACGACTTTTTCAAGGCACTGGAACCATCTCAATTCTTCTGCCAATCTGGACTGTTCCAGGACTCACACCCTGAAACCTGGTCTCCCTATTATCCATTTGCCACCTTCCAGTCCATTCTCAACAGTAGGGGATCTTTCTAATACACACTGGATTGTCACTACTCTACTTACAGTTTATAATTTCTAAACTCCTGAGTTCCATCTGGCACCTGCCCACCTCTCTTATTCACTCATTGCTCTTCCCCTCCTCAGAATCTCTCCTGTCACCTTGAAATTCCTCTACATCGTTGCATGTGCCATTCTATCTACCATGAACATGCCAGCCTGCCACTTCCCCTGGTTACATCTAACTTTTCTAGTATGTTTCAGCCTTTGTTTGCTAGTTTCCTGACCCAACACCTGACAGTGTCCCCACTGTGTCCCCCGTACCTTCCATTTCTTCTGTTGGTAGCAGGTAACACATATTTACTATTTCCTTATCTGTATCAGTCAGAAGACTATGAGCTCCTGGGGCAGGTTGGCCTCTTGTTTATCACTAGGTCCCCACCAAATCCAGTACTTTGCAAGGATTACAGTCTTTTCCTAGTAATGTGGGGGCTGTTTTATTCTCATTCCCCATGCCTACCTTTTGGAGGTAGATGCTGAGATTGAATTCGGGATGCAAGAAATTTATCAGGGATTCACATCTGCGAAAGAAAGGGAAAAGTGGATGGGCAGACATCAAACAGTGATGCATGCTTGACCAAGACTCAAACCTGAAGTGAGTATTACCTGTCAGAGTTGCATCAGACTAAAACAACTAGGTCTTTATATGCCCTTTTCGCTTAGTACCTAGATGGGGGATGCCCTGGTAAGTGTGTGGCCTTTGGCAAGGCATCATTCTGCAATGAGGCTGACCCTGGAAAAACTGACGGCTAGAGTCTGTCTGCTGATAACACTCCCATAGCCGGGCAGCAGGTCCTTTCTTGAAGCTCTGTCTGACAGCCCATCACTGTGTCTACTACACTACTCTTGTAAGGAATTGTGTGACAGTAGGCATTCTATTGTCTCAGTTACCTTTAGTAATCACTTTAGCGCTGCCCCTACTCCAGTCATTGCATTTGGTTGTAACTGAGTATAGAAGATCATTTCTTGGTCATGGGACATTTCACACTGGATTTCAGGAAGATGACCCCGTGCCCTGTTTACTACCCATTAGCACTAGCACTAGTTCCATGAAATCTTAGTATTTGGGTGATACCACATTTTTATTTATCTATTTTATTTTATTTGTCTCTCTCTTTTATTTATTAATTTATTTTTGTTACAGATGTTTCTCCTTTTTTTTCCCTATTGACACCCTCCTCCCCACCACCCCACTCCATTCCCAGCTTTGTTGTCCGTGTCCATCAGTGATGTGTAAATGCATATAAGTTCTGTGGTTTATCTCTTCCCTCCCGCCTCACCCCCTCTTCTGAGGGATGTCAGTCTGTACCCTACTTCCACGTCTCTGGGTCTACTCTGTTCCTCAGACTATTATGTTCATTATAGTCCACAAATAAGTAGGACCATGTGATATTTGTCTTTCTCTGCTTGGCTTGTTTCACTTAGGATAATACTCTCCAGGTCCCTCCATGTCATCTCAAAGGATAAGAGATCTTCTTTCTCACTGCTGCTTAGTATTCCACTGTGTATATGTACCGCTGCTTTTTGATCCATTCATCTTCTGATGGACACTTGGGCTGTTTCCAGATCTTAGCTATTGTAAATAGTGCTGCTACAAACATGGGGGTACATATATTCTTTCTGATTGGTGTTTCAGGTTTCTTAGGGTATATTCCTAGAAGTGGGATCACTGGGTCAAATGGAAGTTCAATTTTTAATTTTTTGAGGTAACACCATATTGTTTTCCATAGGGCTGCACCAATCTGCATTCCCACCAGCAGTGTACTAGAGTCCCCTTTTCTTCACACCCTCACCAACACTTGTAGTTTGATGATTTGTTGATGGCGGCCATTCTGACAGGTGTGAGGTAATACCTCATTGTTGTTTTAATTTGCATTTTTCTGGTGATTAGTGATGTTGAGCATTTCTTCATATGTCTCTTGGCCATTTGTATGTCCTGTTTGGAGAAGTGTCTATTTAGTTCCTCTGCCCATTTTTTAATTGGGTTCTTTGTCTTCCTTTTGTTGAGTTGTATGAGTACTGTATATAGTTTGGAAATTAACCTTTTATCTGATGTATCATTGGCAGTTATGCTCTCCCATATGGTGGGTTCCCTTTCCATTTTGATGGTTGTTTCTTTTGCTGTGCAGAAGCTTTTGAGTTTGATGTAGTCCTATGTGTTCATTTTTTCTTTTGTTTCTCTTGCCTTAGGTGATGTATCAGTGAAAATTCTGCTGCATATCATGTTCGAAATGTTGTTGTCTACATTTTCTTCTAGGATTTTTATGGATTCACAGATCACATTTAAGTCTTTTAGCCATTTTGAGTTTATTCTTGTGTATGGTGTAAGTTGATGGTCTAGTTTTATTTTTTTGCATGTAGCTGTCCAATTTTCCCAACACCATTTATTAAAGAGGCTGTCTTTACTCCATTGTACGCTCTTGCCACCTTTGTCAAATATTAACTGAGCATATTGCCTTTGGTCCATTACTGCATTCTCTATTCTTTTCTACTGGTCTATCTGCCTGTTCTTGTGCCAGTACCAGGCTGTTTTGACTGCAGTAGCTTTGTAGTATAACCTGATATTCAGTATTGTGATCCCACCTACTTTTTCTTTTTCAAGATTGCTATGGCTATTTAGGGTCTTTTTTGGTTCCACATGAACTTTTGAAGTATTTGTTCTAGTTCTGTGAAATATGTCATTGGTATTTTGATGGGGATTGCATTGAATCTATAGATTGCCTTGAGTGATATGGACATTTTAATGATGTTAATTCTTCCAATCAATGAACAAGGTATGTGCTTCCACTTTTTTATATCTTCCTCTATTTCATTTTTTCAATGTCCTGTAGTTTTCTGCAAATAGGTCATTTACTTCTTTGGTTATGTTTATTCCTAGGTATCTTAATTTTTTTGCTGCGATGGAAAATGGGATTGTTTTCTTAGTTTCTCTTTCTGTGAGTTTATCAGTGGTGTATAAAAATGCCATTGATTTCTTGACATGAATTTTGTATCCTGCTACTTTGCCAAATTCATTTATTAAGCGTAGTAGATTTTTTTTTTTTTTTTTTTTGGACTCCCTGGTCCACAGGCCGATGCTCCAACTGCTGAGCCAAACTGGCCAGGGCAGCATAGTAGATTTTTGATGGAGTCTTTAGGGTTTTCTATGTATAATATCATGTCATCTGTGAATAATGACAATTTCACTTCCTCCTTTCCAATTTGGATTCCTTTTATTTTTTTCTTCATGTCTGATTGCTGTGGCTAAGACTTTCAGTACTGTGTTAAACAAGAGGGGTGAAAGTGGGCATTCTTGTTTTGTTCCTGTTTTTAAGGGAAAAGCTTTTAGTTTTTGCCCATTGAGTATGATATTGGCTCTAGGTCTTTCATATATGGCCTTTATTATGTTGACATATGATCCCTCTATTCCCACATTGCTGAGCGTTTTTATCAGAAATGGGTGCTGGATTTTGTTGAATGCCTTTTCAGCATCTATTAATATGATCATGTGGTTTTTATCCTTTTTTTTTTTAAATGTGGTATATCACATTTATTGATTTGTGAATATTGTACCAGCCTTGCATCCCTGGGATGAATCCCATTTGGTCATGGTGAATAATTTTTTTGATGTATTGCTGGATCCGATTTCCTAGTATTTTGTTAAGGATTTTGGCATCTGTGTTCATCAGGGATATTGGCCTGTGGTTTTCTTTCTTTGTTGTGTCTTTTCCTGATTTTGGAATTAGAATTATGCTGACCTCCTAAAACGAGTTTGGAAGTCTTCTTTCTTCTTGAATTTTTTTGAAATAGTTTGAGAAGAATGGGTATTAGTTCTTCTTTGAATGTTTGGTAAAACTCCTCAGTGAAGCCTCCAGGGCCTGGGCTTTTGTTTTCTGGGAGAGTCTTGATTACCTCTTCAATTTCCTTAGGTGTTATTGGTCTGTTCATGTTTTCTATCTCTTCCCAGTGTAGTTTTGGGAAACTATGTGTTTCTAGAAATTTGTTTATTTCGCTTAGATTGTTGAATTTGTTGCCATATAATTGTTCATAGTATTTGTTAACAATCCTTTGTATTTCTGTGGTGTTAGTTATTATTTCTCCTCTTTCATTTCTGATTTTGTGTATTTGGGTTCTCTCTCTTTGTTTCTTGGTGAGTCTAGCTAAGGGTCTATCAATCTTGTTTATCTTTTTGAAAAACCAGCTCTTTGTTTCATTGGTCCTTTGAATTTTTTTTTTTGTCTCTATGTCATTTATTTCTGCTCTGATATTTACTATTTCCTTCCTTCTACTTGCTCTAGGTTTTCTTTTTGTTTGCTTTTTAGTTCTTTTTTTTTTGTCCTTAGTCAAAGACATTCTTGCATTTATCTTCAGACAGAGCAGGAGGGAGAGAGGGAGGAAGAGAAAGAGAGAAATATCGATGTGAGAGAGACATATCCACTGGCTGCCACCCACACAACCCCAACTGGGGCCAGGGACGTGCAAGCAAGGTACATGCCCTTAGCAGGAACCAAACCCGGGACTCTCTGGTCCACAGGCAGATGCTCCAACCGCTAAGCCAAACCTGCCAGGGCTGCTTTCTAGTTCTTTAAGTTGTAAGGTTAGATAGTCTACTAGAAATTTTTCTTGTTTCTTGAGGTAGGCCTGTAGTGCTATGAACTTCCCTCTCAGAACTGCTTTCCCTGCATTCCAAAGATTTCATGTTGTGTGTTCATTTTCATTGGTTTTCAGGAAGTTTTTAATTTCTTCCTTCATCTCTTGGGTAACACATTCATTGTTTAATAACATGTTATTTAGTCTCCATGTGTTCAAATGTCTTTGCATGTTCTTGTTGCAATTGATTTCTAGTTGCATGCCATTGTGATCTAAGAAGATGCTTGATATGATTTCAATCTTCTTGAACTTGTAGAGATTTAGTTTGTGCCCTATCTTTGAGAAGAATGTGAATTCTCTAGCTTTGGGGTGTAATTCTCTGTAGATATCTATTAAATCCTTTTGGTCTAGTGCTTCATTTAGAGTCTCTGTTTCCTTACTAATTTTTTGTTTAGAGGATCTATTCAGTGATGTCAGTGGGTGTTGAAGACCCCTGCTATGATTGCATTGCTGTCAATTTCCCCTTTGAAGTCCTCCAAAATATTTTTAATATATTTTGGTGCTCCTATATTGGGTGCATATATGTTTATCAAGGTTATATCTTCCTGTTGGATAGATCCTTTCAATATTATGTAGTGGCCTTCTTTGTCTCTAGTTATGGCCTTCATTTTGACATCTATTTTATCAGATATGAGTATTGCTACCCCAGCTTTTTTTCCCTTTCTGTTTGCTTGGAAGATTTTTTTCCATGCCTTCACTTTCAACCTGTGTGAGTCTTTTGTTGTGAGATGGGTCTCTTGTAAACAACATATAGATAAGTCATGCTTTCTTATCCAATCAGCTATTCTGTGTCTTTTTATTGGAACATTCAATCCATTTATATTTAAGGTGATTATTGATATATACTTTTTTATTGCCATTTTTGTTTAATGTGGTTATATTTTTCTTCCTATTTCTTCTACTAATCACAGCAGTCCTTTTAAGATTTCTTGCAGTGCTGGTTTGATGCTAATATATTCCATTAGCCCTTTTTTTGTTTGTTTTTTTCTGGAAAGCTCTTTATTTGACCTTCTATTTTGAATGATAGCCTTTCTGGGTAGAGTATTTTTGGATTCAGATCCTTGTTGTTCATGACTTTGATTACCTCATGCCATTCCCTTCTGGCCTGTAATGTTTCTGTGGAGAAGTCAGCTGAGAGCCTTATGGAGTTTCCTTTGTAGGTAACCTGTTGCTTATCTCTTGCTGCCTTTAGGATTCTCTCTTTGTCTTTAATTTTTGGCATTTTAATTACTATGTGTCTTGGTGTCGGCCTGTTTGGGTTTTCTTTACTTGGGGCTCTCTGTGCTTCTTGAACTTGAATGTCTTCTTCCTTCACCAAATTAGGGACGTTTTCTGTCACTATTTCTTCAAATATATTCTCTAACTCTTGCCCATTTTCTTCTTCTTCGGGGACTCCTATGATGTGAATGTTATTATGTTTCCAATTGTCCCACAGTTCTCTTAAGCTGTCTTCCTGTTTTTTCATAGTTTTTTCCTTTTGGTTTTCTGATTGGTTGATTTTTTCTACCCTGTCTTCTAACTCACTGATCCGGTCCTCAGTTTCCTCTACTCTGGTGTTTAGTCCTTCCAATATCTTCTTGATTTCTGATATGTCATTCTTTATTTCTTCTTGGTTGTTTTTCATTTCCAATTAGTTGATTTTCAATGTTTCTATGTCTTTACTTATGCTGTTGAGCTTCCTCAAGATCATGGCTTTGAATTCTAGCTCTTTATTTGCTTAACTGCATTTCCTTTATCTCATCTTTGGTAGAGTTCTCTTGTTCTTTCATTTGGGATTTGTTCCTTTGTTTCACCATTTTGGCTATCTTAGTGGGTTTTGGAGCCTGCCAAATTTTTCCTGTGGGTGTTGGTGTTCTGCTGTTTGTAGCTCCCTCTACTGGGTTTGGGTGAGTGAGGGAGGACCCACATTAAACATCACTGTCAAGTCTTACTTTCCTGGGTAGAGTTGCAAGCCCAGGAATGGTTCAGTTAATCCTCTAGCTTTTTGCCTGGAGGCTATTAGTGAGGTTGCTTGAAGAGCCTTGGTTCTCAGTAGAATGAAAAATCCCCTCAGGTGTTCAGCATAAGGGGATTTCCTGAGGGTGGGGCAGATGCTGGTTGTTAATGAACCTCGATTTGCATTTCAATGGCCCACCTGGGTGGGGTTGAATCTCTGAGGGAGGGACCGCAGCCTATCCCCAGAGCCCTGGGAAGGAGTAAGATGGCTACCATCCTGCATGGCCAAAACTCAGCAAAAGCTCTGAGCACCCTCCAAATCCCAAGTGTCCCCACACAGTTCCAGTCCAGTCCGCCCTCCCAAGGTGAGTGGCTGTGGCTATTTTAGTGCTCTGTCCTGGCTCTCTGCACTGTGGAGGAGGCTTGGGAGTTTAACCCCAGGGGTGCTGCTCACAGCTAAGACTGCTGCTCCCAGCTCCCCTCTCGTGCCTCTGCAATCCTACCAGGATCCATTCAGTGTCTCTGGTTATATGGTCCTCGCAAGCTGCTTTTCTGTTGCTTTTTCCTGACAATTTTTCTTTATTTAGTTGTAATTCCAGTTTGGTCCTGGGAAATGGTCTATGTAGATTCCATTCACTTTGCCACCATTTTGGAATCCCAATATCATTATATATATATATTTTCTTCTTGAGGATTTCCTTTTTTGTGTGTGTGGTGCGTGCCCCTAGCAGGAACTGAACCTGGGACTCTGTCCACAGGCCGACGCTCAACCACTGAACCAAACTGGCCAGGGCCCAATATCATTTTTTTAAATTTACAGTTAAAAAAAGATGCTGGATTTAAGGATAAAAAGGATTAAGAGGTCCAGGTACCAGCTTTACTGCATAGTAATTATGTATTCTCGGGCAAGTGACTTAATCTCTGAGTTCCATTTCTGTATCTATAAAATTAGAATAATTGCTCATAAGGTGGTCATGAATATTAACTATTATCATATGCCAAAAACATTTTAAACTTTCTTTCTCTGAGTAGATTTTATTGTCAAATGACTCATATAAGTAAAATTTGAAACAAAGTCTATTATCTTTTTCCTTCCTGCTTTTTTCCCTTCTCTTTGAGGGCCAATCAGTAATTCTCTCTTCTGTTAACTTTTCCCAGTTTGCTACTAATGTGGGTATTTAGGAAAGCAATTTGAGTAAAGGGAAAATTTAGAATGATTCATGAGGAAAATAATTGATTGATTTATTTTTTCCAATTGCAGTCTGTAAGATTCAAGAAGCTGATGTGGTTTTCCTTTGTGATGGCTCTGACATGGTCTCTGATTCAGAGTTTGTCACCCTGACAACTTTCTTGTCAGATTTAGTTGACAATTTTGACATTCAGTCACAAAGAATTAAAATTGGGATGGCTCAATTTGGGAGCCACTACCAAAAAATTATTGACTTGAAAAACCCTCTGACTGCAAGCCAGTGGAAGACTCGAATTCAAGCTGTCACCCGGAGCAGTGGGCCCCCACAGATCAGCTCGGCCCTGCACAAAGTGGGCTTTATGTTTTCTCCATCTGCTGGTGGGAGAAGAAATGCTGGTATCCCTCAGACTTTGGTTGTGATCACATCTGGGGATCCCCAAGATAATGTGGCAGATGCAGTAAAAATCCTGAAAGACCTTGGAATCTGTGTCCTGGTTTTCGGCATAGGACATATTCATAAAGCACAGCTCCTGCCAATAACAGGCAATTCTGAAAGAATAATCACCTTTCGAAACTTCAACAGATTAAAGGATGTGGAGGTGAAAAAAAGAGTTGTCCGGGAAATCTGCCAGAGCTGTGGAAAAACCAGTAAGTGTTCCCTTGCTCTTCATCTGTTTTTATTTCACTGCCTCTTTCCAGTTCTCCATTTCTCTTGGTGTCTTGTGGGCTTGCTCTAGAAAACATATTTTTAGAATAGTGAGCAGTGAGACTAGACCTCTCCTCTGCTTCCTAGAGATTTGGAGTCAGTCAGCCTCGCTCAGAGGTAGGAAAAAGGGTACAGAGGCTGGCAGAGGCTCTGGGTCTGTCTCCTCTCTGCAATCCAGTACTTATGCCTCTCTCAGCACCTGGAATTCAGTCTCCTGTTTCTATCTTCCAATTCAGGGAGTCCTAGGACAGTGCCTTGCATCCAGTAGGAATGAAGTAAAATAAATACTTGTTGATGGGAAGTTTTACTATTTTAACTACTTAAAGTATCTTGAAAGGGATTTTGTGTACATGTGTGTCTGTATGAGTGTGTGTGTCTATTTTCTTCTTTTAATGTTGGTATTCTTATCTTCCTAACATAGTAAAGATTTGAATTGTCTTTATGGGTTATTTAATTTCCAGAGGTTACAAACACAAAGGCCACAAAGGCCAGGTGGGCAATGTGAAGGAGTCACGGGGACAGAGAGTGAAGAAATGAATGAAGAGCAATGACCCATCTGTGGGAATGTCACCAGTCAGCTCCAGCTGAGAGTAGCCATGTAGGACTCAGGTCCTGTAGTCAGGGCTGGGAGTGGGGAGAACAGCACATCAGGAAGCAGCAGTGAGTAGCATCTTGTGGAATGTGCATGACATGTGGATATTCTTCAGAGGGTTAAGATTGAAGCCACTTTCTTCCCATCAGGTGCTGTCTTTCCAAGCTCTCTAGATCTTTTACACCCATTTGGGTTCTCAACTGAAGGCAGATTGCAGTGTTGGAGAGAGCCTTGGGCCTGCAACCCGAGAGCCAGGGCTCTAAGTCTGGTTATTTGCAGCCACCTCCATGAACTGCTGTCTCCCCAGGTGTAAATGGACAAGTGGACAGGGTCAGAGGTCACCAAATGGCAGCCTGCATCTGAACTGTGTTTGTCCTGTCCAGTGTCGACAACTTGTTAAATTTGTTGACAGCTTTTAAAAACCAGAAATTTTACATTGAAAAATGTAGGTTTCTGGCATTTCTTGGAAAACTCGGATGATCTGACAACACTGGGTCTCCCTTCCCACATGGCTACTCTCAGTTGAAGCTGAACAGCGAGCAGATGGGTCATTGCTCTCCATTTATTTTCTTTACTCTCCTCCCACTAGACTCATTGATGTTATATTACACACTTGGCCTTTGAGTTTGTGACATCTGGAGTAAATAATCCCTAAGGACAATTTGAAAATTCAATATGTTATGATTATATGAATCATAATATGTCATATTTAAAAGAAAAAATATGCACACACACACACACACACACACACACACACAGAAAGCCACTGAGAATGAGACTAAACTGTGAATGGAACTTAAAATAGCTATTGAAACTTGTGTTAAAAGAAACTTATGTTGATCGAGCAGCAAATATGGACACTTTTTGGCTACTAGAGACCCTCCAGCCCTGGGCCATGACCACTCTCCTTTTTCTGCTCTATCTGCCCTTCCTTGCTTCTATCCACTCATTAATCTTGCTCATTTCTCTTGGTCTCTAGATTGCTTTGTGGACATAGTAGTCGGGTTCGACATGTCCACTCACGTGCCAGGGCAGCTGTTGTTCCATGGCCACCCCCGGCTGGAATCATACCTCCCAGGCATCTTAAAAGACATCACCTCTATCAGAGGGGTGAGCTGTGGGGCAGGTGCAGAGACACAGGTGAGCGTGGCCTTTAAGGTGAACAATGACCAAGAATTCCCTGCCAAGTTCCAAGTCTACCAGGAACCGGTATTCAACAGCCTGCTGCAAGTCACCGTCAATGGGCCAACTCATCTGAATGCACAGTTCTTACAGCGGCTGTGGGACACATTTGAGGATAAATCTGCATCCCGAGGACAGGTATCCACATCACATCCTGTCTCCCATCTCTGCATGCTCTGATATGTTTCTCCCTCTCAATTATATATTTCATTTTCACATTCTTCTATTCTCTGCTTTCTTCTTTCTGTAGGTGCTACTCATCTTCTCAGATGGTCTTGGGGAAGAAAGCATCACAATGCTTGAGAATGAATCAGACAGACTCAGAGAAGCAGGTATGTACTGAGTTGAAAATTTAAAAGATGATGCATGAAATGTGCTGATAAATCTCTACCCTATTTAGGTGCTCTAGGTTTTGGATTCTATCTGGCTATTTAATAAAAAAAAATTTCTCCTTTATTGATTTTAGAAAGAGAAGAAGTGAAAGGGAGAGAGATAGAAACATGGATGAGAGAGAACATCGATTGGCTGCCTCCTGCATGCCCCCCACTTGGGATTTGGCCCACAACCTGAGCATGTGCCCTGACTGGGAATTGAACCAGTGATCTCTTGGTGCATGGGTCAATGCTCAACCACTGAGCAACACCAGCCAGACTGTCTGGCCATTTGTAACAGATGCTATGGTGTTGGTGCCTTGCCCAAACCCCTTTGACCATCCTGCATACTCACCCCTCAAATGCTGCAGATACTGTGGCCAAGTGCTTACAGCTGTGACCTTCCACAGACATGGGCCCTTGACGGACCTGAACCATTACTTGATGCTTGGAGAGGGGATGTAGTTGCACCACATCCCTCTAAGGGTGAAGATTTTACTGAGACACATTCTTGCTTACAACTTCCCCTTCCCTTTCTTCATTCTCTCTCTCCCTCAGTAAATCTCACATACACAAATTTCTCTCTCAAATTTTGTGTCTAGAGAATCTGACCTAAGATGTTTCCTATTATTTTCTATTTTCCACATGAAAGACAGCAACATGGATTTAGAAATGCACTTCTCACTGTCTAGTCCCTGTCCATGTCAGGTTCAGGCTGAGCTAGATGCTAAATGCAGATGTTGAGAGTAATCTGCAGTGACAGGAGGCTCCACTGATCGTCAGATGGGGTGCATCATTTGAGACTAGCTTCTGGGGTTCAGCTTCTGTGGGCAACCTCCCTAGAGGCCAAAAAATGTCCTGCTTTAATCCTGGGTTGTGTCACCCTCCCTTTTCAGATCCCTTCAATACCTTCCCACTGATCTTGGGATAGCAAATTCCTTAGTATGACCCGTGATGTTTTGCAGGATCTGGCCCGGTTCCCCATGCCAGCTTTACCTCACTCCTCACACGCAGTTTCCAAGCCATGCAGAACCTTTTCCATTTTCCTTCCAATGTGTTTCACAGCCCCATCCTCCCAGTCCTTGCATATACTCTTTTCTTTTGCCTAGAACGCTTTCCACTCTCAGCGGTCCCCCCCCAACACCCATCTTCTCCTCACTTCCCATCTCCAGTTCTTTTTCTTGACCAACCTCCATTCATTTTTTTAGGATCAGCTTAGACATCAGTTCTTTGCAGAAACCTTCCCTGACCTTTCACAACTGAGTTAGGAGCTTCTTGTATGCTCTCAGAGTACTTGTCACTTCTCAGAGCAACTATCTGATTCCTGTCCACCTCTTCCGGTAGACCATACCTCTGTGAAGGGAAGGAGCACCCCTATCCTATTCATCTTGTAGCCCTCCTACAATGATTAGTACTTAATAGGCTCCTGAAGCAAGTGTTTAATGAAAGGATGGATAGAGTAAATGAACTAGTGAATGAATGAGTGAGTGAGTGAGTGAGTGAGTGAGTGAGTGAGTAAATACATGAATAAATGAACTCCTGGGTATGGCCAAGTGTTCAGCTGAGATTGAATTTACCTGGACTTTCCTCAGCCTCTCAGGGCCTATGCTCCCAAGGATGTTTGGCAACAGTGATGGTTTGCAAACTATCATTAATTTATATTTATTTTTAATATTTTTTTCTTTATTGCTTTTTAGAGAGAAAGGAAGGGAGAGGGAGAGAGAGATAGAAACATTGAAGAGCCCTGGTTTGGCTCAGCGGTTAGAGCGTCGGCCTGTGGACCAGAGGGTCCTGGGTTTGGTTTCTGCTAAGGGCATGTACCTCGGTTGCCCAGCCCTGGTTGGGGTCATATGAGTGGCAACCAGTCGATGTGTCTCTCTCACATCAGTGTTTCTCTCTCTCTCTCTTCCCCCCTCTCTCCCTCCTGCTCTATCTAAAGATAAATGCAAAAATTGTCCTTGGGTGAGGATAAAAGGGAAAAAGAAAAGGAAACATCGATGAGAGAGAGCATCGATTGGCCGCCTCCTGCTTAACCCCCACTGGGGATTGGGCCCACAACCTGGCATGTGCCCTGACAGGGAATCAAAGTGGCGACCTCTTGGAGCATGGGTCAATGCTCAACCACTGAGCCAAACTAGCTGGGCTCATTAATTTATATTTAGTCAAATTCTGAAAAACTCGGAAGATGAACAAGAACATGCCCTTTCTTAAAAATTGCTTTCAGCCCTGGCCAGTTTGGCTCACTGGTTAGAGCGTTGGCCCTTGGACTGAAAAGTCATGGGTTCGATTCTGGTCAAGGGCACATACCTCGGTTACAGTTCAGTCCCCAGCCTTGGTCAGGGGCATGCGGGAGGCAACCAATTAATGCGTCTCTCTGACATCAATGTTTCTCTCTCTCTCTCTCTCTCTCTCTCTTTCTCTTTCCCCCATCCCCTCCCTCCTACTCTATCTGAAAACAAATGGAAAAATATTCTCGAGTGAGGATTAAAAAAAATTGATTTCAAATGCCTAAGAATTACATTGAAATTGGTGGTAAAATATTGAACAGTTTTCTATTAGTGTTTCTCTGTAAATTTGTAAATAGTTTCTCTTGCATACTTTTTCTTGGAAAGTTTCATGTTAGAGTAAGGGATCAGTTCGTACCTAGTGTGTCTATCGACTCTGCAGGCAAACCTGCTGCCTTCATGTGTCAAGAGTACCGCTTCCTCTTATGTTTTTCCCCTTTCTGATTCTTTGAGTAATGTTCACCGAGTAATTTTTCTTCTTTTTTTGTGAACAGTTCCTTTGTTTTTATATTTGTCCTTTTTACTGCATAGGACTTGATGCTCTGCTGGTAGTGTCCCTAAACACAACTGCTCACCATGAGTTTTCCAGCTTCGAATTTGGAAAAGGATTTGATTACAAGACTCACCTGATCATTGGAGATAGAGACCTGGGCAAAATGATATCACAGTATCTGGTGAGTTTTTGAACAAAAATTCAGTTATTCAAAATGCAATAAGAACAAAATTGGAATCTTGATGAGTATTTCCAAAGACTGCCTTGTCTGTCCTAAATTCAATACATGGCCTTTCGATATAAAAAAATGTGAAAGACCAGAGCACTGAATTTTTGTTTCTGCATGCCCTTTCATCTTTTGTTATTTAACCAAGTGAATGCACAGGGAACTAGAAAACCAACCAATCCCTAATCAAATAAGAAACACCACCAACATTTTATGCTACAGAAATCCCAGGAAACAGAGACGCAACTAGGAACCAAGCAGTCTTGTGCAAACTTGGTCTGTGGCCATCTATGTGGCAGATGTCCTTCTATAATAAGAGGTCATTTCCTTGGAGAGGCTATGTTGCCAATGCAGTTGCTAACCTAGCATCCTCTCTCAAGTGTTCAGTCAAAAAGCACCTCTTATTCTCTCTAGTCACTCACCCAAAGGGAAAGCATGAGCTTGTAGGTGGTGGGTTATGATTTGTGTGAATACAGTTTGTATGTAATGAAGTTTCTGACAATTGTTGTTCTCTCAAGTCTGCTTTCTGTTTTTTTTTCAGGGAAACATTGCAGAGAGGACCTGCTGCTGTACATTTTGCAAGTGTCCAGGGATGCTAGGACCTCATGGGACCCAAGGACGACAAGGCTTCAAGGTGTCATTCAGTTGAAATTATTTTACTTAATGAGCCTTGGTTTGGTGTGGGTGGGACTGAGATGGAATGGTTGAATTTGCAACCTTCATCTGATGCTGATGTAATTGCCTTGAGCATTTGGTGTTACTTCTGTGGTGTAGGAGCCATTTCAGAAGGGCTCACTTATGATGCTACTATTAAGAATAGCTCCCTTTTCTCTTACATCTCCTTGGTGATATTGCATCTTGATTTTGCAGTGGATACTTTTTACCCACTTCAGACAGTCTGAAAGCTGGCCATTTGTATGTCCTCTTGGGAGAAGTGTCTGTTCTATCCTCTGCCCATTTTTTAATTGGGTTGTTTGATTTTTGTTGTTGTTGAGTTGTATGAATTCTTCATACATTTTGGATATTAGCCCCTTATCGGGGGTATTGTTTGAAAATATCTTCTCTCATTTGGTTACAAGAACCATATGATTCAACTCATGTGGGATATGAAACAGAAGGCAACACATGAACAAACAAATAAAAAGCTCATAAACACATAAAACAGTTTAGTGGTTACCAGAGGGGAAGGGGAGTACGGGTAGGTAGAAGAGGATAAAGGGAGTCAAATATATGATGATAAAAGGAGAAATGACTGTGAGTGGTGAACATACAATGCACTATACAGATGATGTAGTACAAAAATGTACACTTAAAACTTCTAGAACCTTGTTAACCAGTGTCACCTCAACACATTTCATTAAAAATTTTTAAAAAGATGACAGAAGGTGTTAAAAATAGTGGGGAAAGTTGTACTTCATCAGCAATGGAATATGATTGAACTGCTAAAAGAGCAGAGCATTGCCAATTAATTTAGAAAACAAATTATAAAAGATCAATTGCACAACAATAGCAAAGATAAGTATATCGTGGTATTTTTATTTAATAGAATGCTCTAAAGTGTTGAAAATGAATGGGCTGCAGCTACTCACAACATGAATAAATGTTGCAAACACAATAATGGCCTAAAACAAAACAAAACACAGAATATATATGGTGGTATGATTCCATTTATAAAAAATTTGAAAACAGGCAAAACTAACCTATAGAGTCTAGGGAAGAGTAAGCAGTGGAGTATAAAAAAAAGGCAAGGAAGTAGTCTCATAAAAGTCAGGAGCATTCTCCCTTGGGTGGAGGTGGGAATGGCTAGCATTGGGTTGGGCACTGCATCTGGGTACTATCCATGTCCTCTTTCTTGGCCCAGGTGGTGGCTACACAGGTGTTCACTTTATAACAATTAAGCTGTACCTTCATATTTTACTTATTTCTATGCACTTTTTCAAGTGGGTTTGAAATATCACAATGAAAAGGGTCAGTTTGTTCTGTTTTAAGAGATCAAATATAATGTGTGTTCCTGAGTACAGCATTCTCCAAGCTTGTGGAAGGATAATTTATTCTGGACATTTTACTGAGTTATAATATTTTGTTTAGCACAATTTCCTCTCTCATTACTTTGCTCAGGTCAGTTATATTCCAAGAGCACATTTCCCCTGGTATACTGAGCAGACAGCTAGGGCCTGTGTTAGAGGAAAGAAAACCACAATTGAAATCCTTGCCACAAATCAGCGGTTAAACCACATGAGGCAGAGGGAGAGATGGTCACCCTTTAAATATATGTAACCTTGTTCTTGGGAAGAGTGTTTATTCTTCCTTGAGCTCTCAAAGAAGCAGAAGAAAAAGTGATCTGTTTGGAAATGTTATTTATTTACCTGCTAAAGGAGTTGTGGTGGCCACCGCTGTGGTTGGTGCAAATCTCCAGGGCATCACAGAACTGGCCTCGGCGGCCTGAGTTGCAGGTGGATCCCAGAGGTCAGTGTCCTGCGGGCACCAGGAGGGCCAGCTTCGCAGGGCCTTCAGCGATGAGTGCAAGAACACAATCCCAGAGGTTGTCAGACTCTCCCCAAACTCACAGCCACACCGGCAAACACGACAACCAAGTTGGAGGGAGGGACTTACCTAAAATGCCCCAATGACTTCACAAGTTTCACTTGATGGAAAATGGCTCAAATGTATTTTTCTTTCCTTCCTCCAGGGTGCTCTTGGTCTGAAAGGCACCAGAGGACACAGGGGAGAGGACGGAGATCCTGTAAGTTTTTGTGATTCACCTTCCCCTACCCGACCCCCAACACACTTACTGATTTTGTTTTTTATAGAAGCTTGATTTCCTAGAGAAGAGGTCATGGGCTTTTGTTTATGTATATTCTTTGTAGTGTTGGCGAACATGAGTTGCTTTTCTTTTCCTTTTTCCTTGTCTGAATCACAAGGCACTTGCTAAACCTATTTGGGGGCGGGGAGAGCAAGCCCCTATGTGTTTTCTGGTGCTTTCTCTTATATCACCGGCAGGGAGCTGGGCATGCTCCTATCTACCCCCGCACAGTGCTTCGTGCATGGAAAGGGAAGCAGGCAGAGCACCCCCAAAGTGCAGAATTATGATTATATGGTTCACAGAGGTTTTCTAACCTCTGTCTTTGATCCTAAAACCAGAATTCTCATCTGGTTCATCAAACAAATTTTGAGAATGGATTTGGAGGAACTGAAACCACACGGGTTGCTTCATTTGGGGTGGGAAAAGTTTGGGAAGCATCCAGCTCGCGTCTTCATCCCCTTAGAATCGAGGCCAGCTCCTTGGTCTGGGCAGCAGGTTATGATGAAAAGCACAGTCTCTGGAGTCAGTCAAGGGTTGACCAAGATGTGAAAGCTTAACCAGATACCTAACTTCTTGACCTGCAGTCTCTTCACCTGTAAACATTTATAAATTCCTCTAAGACCATGATTTACAAAAAGGACCCTTAGGGGAGTGCTCCAAGTCACCACCCTCTACCTGCAGTGAGAATGGAGGGGTTTGAGTGCAGGGACTCGGTTCATGCTACTGCCGGGCTGTGACCCACAGCTGGCTGAGACTCGGTCGCTGGGAACGTTTCAGCACCTCTCAGCAACCTGCGGCCATGGGTCGGGCCTCCTACTTGACTGGGAGTCATCCTCAGAAAGCAAAGCAGGGGAAAGGAAAATCATTTCTCCTATCACCTACCAGGAAGGAGAGAATTAAGCTCATTGCTAAAAAATGATTTGTCCATACAGCAAACCTGTAGCACCTGCTCTGCACCCAGATTTGAGCCAGGCACAAGGGACACAAGTGGGAGAGAGAGTCAGGGGTTCCCGCCCGTAGGGAGCACACCATTGCTTGTCTCGAGATTCATGTCACAGTAGCTTTTACCTGTATTGAAATATTTCCTGGGAGAAGCAGGAGATGTACATGTCATTGACCTTGAGTGTTCTTCTACATGGCTTGTCAGACTTTGGGGATCTTGAACCCTGTGGGCTCTCCCGTGAGCACTGGCTCAGGGTAGTGTCACTTCCCATCAAGCGCTTCTACTCAGCTCCAGTCCCCTGGCACTGACTTCTGTGCCGTCAGCCACGCGGACTCGTGTGGGATAAGGCGGTGAAACCTCTGTGTGGTTTTGGACCTGAAAGGAAGTCCTGGCAGGAAAAATGTTTGAATAGAGGAGGGAACGTAGAGGTAAATGAATGAGTGGAAGGATTTGCTTGTCTAAAGCTCAGATTTATTTGTCAAAAAAGTAAACTGCTGGCAGCTTCTGCCAAGAGAATCACTTTGGATACCTGTTTGGGAACCTTCTCTTAGGGAACACGAGGAGAAACCGGACTCCCAGGAAATAAAGGGGTTGCAGGATGTCCAGGGCAGTGGGGTCAAAAGGTAAGGCTCTGTTGGCAATGTTATTTTAAATGTCACCCCAACATCCTGGCCCTCTGTCCTCTGTTCCTTCCCTCCCTCGTTTCCTCTCTTCCATCCCCCCTCCCTCGTTCCCTTTCTCCTAGTCCATGTTCGTTTCCTCATCTGCAGATTATTTGCCTTAGGAATCTCAAGGAGTTCTGAGCATTAATTAAATTGTAGCAACAACCTCTTTATGATTGTCAAGCCAAGGGCAACTGAAATTTAGAATCACTGTCATTAGGGAGGCAGCCCCTTCCTGCCCCCATCGTCTAGGAATCCACGTTCTGTGGTTGATATGTCATTGAGAGATGTTCCATCTTTTACAGGGAGTCAGAGGACTTCCAGGATATAAGGTACGGTAACTTCTTCTCAAACTGCATGTCCCTGTGGGATGTTTCCCAAGACACGTGCGGCAGAGATCTCCTTTGCCTGATGGCTGCCCGTTGTGTCTCCCAGGGAGAAGTGGGAGAAGACGGGATTGACGGACTGGATGGGGAAGACGTAAGCCATTTTTCTCCATGTTCCATAAAGCCAGTGTGAGGTTGATCTATTTTTAAATGGGAATTTTGCTTTCCTGATCTTCTTTTAGGGCTTACATGGATTTCCTGGAAAAAAGGGAGAAAAGGGTGATCCCGGATCTCAGGTAACACTTTTCAATAGAGTAGAGCAGGAGAACTTGGTGGCAGACAAAATCTTCATGGCTGTGTGTTCGTGGTTATTAGGGCTAAAATTGACAGCTAACTTAACTACATAATGAAGGCCCTTTACCACTGAATAGGTGCTGCGTTCCCGTTTGGAACAAGTGAGTAACTATGTAATTTTCAAGAATTTCCAGCTAGAAATTTCAAGGCACTCAAGGATCCTCTGAAGGCTGAAATGAATGCTTTCGCCTGTCAGCAGCTTTCTCGTTCTCTCCACTGCATCAGAAAAGAACAAAAAGCAAGAGAAAGAGACAAAATTATTCTGGTGGCCTTGGTATAGCAAATCACAGAGAGGCATTTTTTTTTATTTTAACTTCATTTCAATGCTCATGAATTAATATGCACTTACTTGGTAAGAACTTGGTATGTTCTGATACATTTATTTATCAAATATTTTTGAATACCTGGGGTGTGCCAGGCACTGTTATATACCAAAGAATCAGAAATGAACCACATTGTCCTTGTCCTCAAGGATCCCACAGTGTTGTTGGGGAGCTAGACATATCAATTGCTAATGTAATAAGGACCGTGTTGCAGGCATTTACATGGGAGCTTAGTGAAGGGTCCTGACTCAGCAGGGTGGGGAAAGAGGTCAGGAAATCTCCCTGGAGGAAATGGTCCCTGAGCTGAAGATGAATAGGACGTGGAGGAAGGGCATTTCAGACAGAGGGAACAGCCTAAGCAAAGACCTGGAGGCTTGTGGACACTGTCGTCGTTCTGCCTGGCGGGAGTGTTAGTGTAGAGGTAGAGGGAGGGCAGGTCCAAGAGGTGGTGGGAAGAGTTCAGGAAGGCACCGGTGAGCCATGTGGAGGAGCTGGGCTTCTAACCATTAGGAAGTAGGGAGCCTTTGAAAGATTATGAGCAGGGAGATCACAGTTGATTTGCATGTTAGAAATATCACTTGGCAGTAGTGTGGAGGATGTGTTGGAGGGTCTGTTCCAAGGCAGAGAGGTGAGGGGCGAATCTGTAGCAATCAAGGTGAGAAGTAATGCAGCCTTCAAGTAAAGCAATTTCAGTGAGAACAGAAACAGAACATTTAAGGACATGGCCAAGCCCTGACTGCACTGAGCACCCAGGGTGCAAGGTTAGGGAAGCCTTCATTATGCAGAGTGAGTGCTTCCCCAAATTTTGCACCCTAACTAACTTGCTTATTCCTAATACTGGCTCCGGGACATAAGATCTCCAGATCTAGGTGACTAGAGGAGATGCAATTTAGGAGTCAGTCCAAATGCCTATAAGGATCCTATCTTGGGCAAGTTCCGTTGGAAAAAATTAAGTTTGAGTTAAGAATGAAGCATCCCTGTAGAGGTTTTCCGTTGGCAATTTAATTATAGATGCCAGAAGGTGCTAGATTAGCTGGGATGTCCAATACAGTACCCATTGGCGATACGTGACTATTAAATTCAAATTAATTAAAGTGACCATTTCTGCTCTTCGGTTGCACTAGCCACATTTCATGTGCTCAGAGCCACATACGGCCAGTGGCTACCATATTGGACAGTGCGGACCTAGAACATTGCCGTCACTGTGGAAAGTTCTGTTGGGCAGCACAGTCCCAGACTATACAATGTTTCCCATTGCTCAACCTCACTATAGATAATCCCAACCCTAGGCTTAAAATTAGAATTAGTTCTGCTTTAGAAGTCGGAGGGAACCTGGGTGGGATAAAGAAATGTGGATCATTATATCTGATTGATTCCTTCCCCTCCAAACACACACAACATGTGACATTTTAATATTATTATAAACCCCTCCTACAGGCTAACTCAGAAACTCATTTTATTTTTTCAGGGCAGCCCAGGTGCCAGAGGCCCACCTGGGGAATATGGGGAGAAGGGCTTCCCAGGGGATCCTGTAAGTTACCAGGGCCCGGATGGCTCTGAATTTCTTGTTCCATAGTTCGTATTCCTTCCCCTGTGTCTCTTGCTAACCTGTAGGCAAAGGCTTGTCTTGGGAACGGGGGAGATAGGTTGACTGAGGCTTATTTGTTTTGGGGGAAAAAATCTGTCTACAACTGATTTGGGCTGATTACATACAAATTCAGAACTGGGAGCTAAAGTTTCATCTTATTCTTCCTCATTCTGAGACTTTCAAGTCCTCTTGGAGGGGAATTCCCATATTTTGCTTACGGAGCTTGCGAGTCCCTACGCGTGGACTGGTTACAGGGGAATCTCACTGCACGTCTGGGGGAGCAGCAAGAGCACGTTCGAACTGGTGGCATCAGTGAAGCCGTCACCACAGAGGAGGGAAATTCACCATGGCTTCAGCATGTTGTGTAATAATTTGGCATTTATCACCAAGCCCCCTTCAAACTTGGGGAACTACTACTTTCATTTTTATCCAGTATCTATGAGTTTCAAATATGGAGGATTTTCTCACACCTATCATCACTTAACGCAAGTTTCTTTAGTACTTGAACCCTACAGTTTTGCCAAAAAAAAAAAAAAAAAAAAAATGCTGATTTTTTTTAATTCTGAAATACTTTTTAAATCTTCTTCTAGGGCAATCCAGGACAAAACAATAACATCAAAGGACAAAGGGGCTTCAAAGGAGAACAAGGAAGACAAGTAATCGCATCTGTTTACCTATATGAGCTGATTGATTCTGTTATTGAGCTGAGGCTAAATGAATTATTTAGCAAAATATGTAATCCATCTATAATTGAACAAACTCCCTTAAGTTCACGTCGAAAAGAACCTTATGTCTGTCGTAGGTTATACTTCTATGGGCAAAATTACCATGTTTCTGGAAGGTGACATATGGGGAAACTGATCATGGCAATGCATGTTGCTATACCATTTTCTCCTTCAGTAGATATATACCCAATAGTGTTTGTTGATATGCAGAAAGATTTTAGTATGATCTTTTATTCTATTGTTTTAATAGTGCTTGAGGTTTTGATGCTGATGCTTTGTAATTTATTTAGAATCTTTTGCTTTATGATCTGGGGGGACTGTTGTATTTCTAGGGGAGAACCGGACAGAAAGGAATAGAGGGCAGACCTAATTCCAGAGGAAGCAGGGTGAGTTTATTTGTGGACATTTATTTTCCCTCCTTATCACCTGAAGATGCCACAGAGGCATTCCGAATATTGGTTGCAGTAGAGTCAGCTGATCTAGGGCTGATCCATCGGCACTATTGACATTTGGGCCCGATAATTTGTTATGAGTGGCTATCCTGTGCAATAGAGAATATTCTCAGCATCCCTGGTCTCTCTACCCACTAGATGCCAGTGGCACCTCCTCCCTCCAGTTGTGAAATCCAAAAATGTCTTCAGATACTGCCAAATGTCAGTGAAGGATGGTGGGGGTCAGGTGGGAGCAAAGTTGCTCCGGTTTGAGAATTACTCTAACACAGTTTGCTTGCCCTTTCTCCCTCCCAGAAGCTTTTGATTGTTTTGGGGAGTCAATGACTTTAACACAAAAGCCCTCCTCCAGTAGCTTAGCACCTCCGAGCGTATATAAGAATATTAAGAACTAGGTAAATGCTCTTCATATATGGCCAGGAGGAAAGAAGAAACACAGATAAATTCTTCCTGAATGAACCCAAACACTGGTGATGAGTGGTAGTGTCACTTTATATAATATCAAGCCTAAAACCATGAGATTAGGTTTTCTCTTCTTTTTAGTGAACAACCAAGAAATCACTTTTTTCTTTGTGGGCTACTAAAGTTAGAGATAATATTGACAGTGTGTGAGAAATCCCTTTATCAGGTGCTCAGCATGGAGATCATAAAAAAAGAATAATGCACAACGTCCTGGATCTGACTCTGAATTTTCCTTAAGAGGGAGCAGAAAATACTTGGCTTTTTTATTTCATGACAATTTTGTAATCTCATCATTTACAAGGCTTGGCTGATTGCCTTTCTCTCTGGGACAGATAGCAGATAAATGTGTTTTAATTTCTTCTTGTCTTTGTTTATCTTGAATCATAGTTCTTAAGGGAAAGAATCCACAGTAGAATGGCTTAGGCTTCCCAGTACTTCTGGTAAAATAATTTGGGACTTTGCCCTCTTTTCCACAAGAGAAAATTGAAATGAATCAGAAGAATCAAGAGGGCAGCAAGATGAGCTAAATGCTATACATTTTAAAGCTAACAATGTATTTTTGTTGGTTTAAGAGAAAATACTTTCAGTTTGGAATAACTTTGTAACTGTCAAGGTCAATCAGGTACTCTTTTTTTAATCCTCACCTAAGGATATTTTTCCATTTATCTTCAGGTAGAGTGAGAGAGAGAGAGAAACAAACATCGATGTGAGAGAGACACATCAATTGGTTGCCTCCCGCACGACCTTGACCAGGGCCAGGGACGTAACCACCACCGAGGAACATGCCCTTGACTGGAATTGAACCTGCAACTCTTTGGTCCGTGGGCCAACGCTCCAACTGCTGAGCCAAAGTGGCCAGTGTGAACCAGGCACTTTTAAAAAGGAGATGGTAGGGCTGGGGAGTGAGCGATTTTCAACCCCTGTGACATAAGAATTTTTAAAACATACAACACCTGACTATTTAGTCAAGGGCACTGACATCTTTTCCCTTAGATTGTCAAATAAAAAATAACAACAGCCAACACAGCAATAGCATTTGGTACAAATGCCCTTTCTTTAACTGTAACTGTATAGGTCATACGATAGGGTTGCATCTTACTGGTCACATTGCATAATACATTTGCATCTGATTGGTTAATTTTTGGTACCAGAAATCCTTATATACAAGTATAGGCACCTGATTTTTTTTAAACAAATCACTTTGGAGCAAAAGGGTAGGTAATTACTTATTTTTTTTTCTTGTAAATCAATCAAAATTATACCTATTTTTTGTCAGAACAGAAAAAAAAATATTTTTTGATATGCCACAGACTTTGGTGATTAGTTTATGTGTGCCGTGAGATGAAAAAGGTTGAAAAATCACTGTTCTGCGTCACTCCAGGGACAGTAGGTTCTCAGCCTCCCTCCCCATCTTCATCCACTTCCCTACGTATCTCCACCTTTTTAACCTCTTCTCTCCTGAAGTAAATAAGGCAATGTGGAACACCTAGCGTTTCTATCCTCTCTCCGACTTCCAGTGAAGGTCAGACTTCTCTATGAGGGTCAGAGAATCTTAAGTGGATGACAAATTCTGAAAACACAATTTCAACTTATGTAAATTAATTGTTGCACTGACTGTTGCCAAAAAATAAAGATAATGTACTGAGAACCAGAGCATTTAAAATCACATTCCAGGTTCACTGTCTTTTGCCTGTCATACACACAGAATACTTACAATACTAATGATAATATCTATTTATACTTCTATAGAATCTATTTTATGCCAGATCCTGATTACATTACTTTCAAGTATTAATTTATTTAATCCTCATAATAAACCTATGAGGTAGATGCTATTATATCCACGGATGAGAAAAATCAAGGAACCTTGGGCAACTTGCCCAGGATCAAGATAGGTAGTAAGTGGTAGATCGAAGTTTGAACCAAGACTTGTGTACTCCAGAGTCTGGGCTCTTATCCACCCTGACTAACGTTTATTGTGCAAATACTTGGTGCCACACAGGCGTTAAAGGGCAGGAAGTGAATGAATGAATGAATAAACAAACGAACAAATAAACGAATGGAATTTTTAATAGCATTGTTTTGTACCTAAAGTAATCATAGTTGTTTATCAAAACACAAAGTAAATTGATGGTTCAGATGTTCCACGACTCTCTCAAAGAGGCGGGGGTGGGAGGTGCGGAGGTGAGAACAGGTGAGAGCCCGGACCTTATTGTTGCTGTTGAGTGGAAAGGAAGTTAGGCTGCCCTCTGGGAAGGAGAGGGTGTGGCGAAGACAGCCAGTAGGTGGAGAGCCTGAGCTAGCAATGTGAAATCACTTCTGCACAGATGCAGACTGATTTCAGCTTTGGAGATCAGCCTGGTTTTTCTCAGATGAACCTGGAGGTGCCATTTGGACCACAACATGGTTGAACAGTCCTCATCAGTCTTTTCCTCCTTGTAGGATTCCATGAAAACAAAACCCCAATGGGCCCTTATGAAGCACTGTATCTAACCATTTTCCACAATCCCCTAAGACACAGTCAGGGTCCTGGACAGAGATGGGTGAGTCACAGGTTGTTCTCACACAGGAAGCCTCTGATGAGTGCTTTGTGGGACTTTCTAGGGAGAAAAGGTAGAAGACAGGTTCTTCAGGATGGTTTGATTCTTCAACAGCCCCCTGGGTAATTGTCAGAGGTTGTCAGACTGGAGGTGGGTCTATAATGACTTTTCAGATTGGTTTGCAATCAATCCCCCAAATGTTAATCCTTCAGTAAATGCCTACTGTGAGAACTGGTCTTTGGAAAGTGCCTCATGGAAGCCATTTCTTTGAGCTGCTTGTTACTTATATGTCTATCAGAGAATGAGATAGGTTGATTTGTCTCTAAGGAACCTCCATCCAGATACCCAGACACTAACACTTTGCCTTTTCTCTCCCAGGGAAGAGAAGGCCAAAGGGGGCACCTTGGTGCTCCGGTGAGTATCCTTTGTTATCTGTTCTCTGTGACAGATGAGGCCAAGCAGATTCTGACATGCAAAGGTACTGGGAATGAGTGAGCATTTGACAAGGATGCTGTAGGAAGTGCCTAGCATTGGACATGATCCCCACTGACGAGGAAGGGAGAGGGGATCAGTTCAGCTGCCTGACCTAAGACAAAGCCTTCTTTGCAGACTCTTCATGGAAAAGAGAACGTGTGCAATCCCAGGTGCTGTGTACTTGGATGCTTTCCACATGCACTGGGAATGGACTGCAATAGAATGAAGTTCTTTACTAAAATAAGAAACAACCTTTGTGTACTATAGTACTAGGAACTAAAAAGAGAAGATCTGTATGAGAACTGTCTAGAAAAAACCTTTACTCTGAAAATTCTCATTCATCAGGGGGAGCCGGGAAGTCCTGGACCTGCAGGTATACAAGGAGCTGAAGGATTACAAGGCCCACAGGTGTGTTGGAATATTTCATAAATGTGGGGAAATAATACTGAGTTGTTCTGATGGGAAGATGGCAGGTTGTTCTGTATGAAAATAAATAACTGAGACGTGTGTGATCTACTCCCACATGTCCCCCATGGTACATGTCTCTGGAATTCTACATTCCCCATCATGATGGGGAGATTTGCTCCATCTGCCTGCTCCTACATTAGCAGTTCACTGATAAAGGCATGTTCTTGTGCCCACCTGCTATTACGTCCGCATGTTAGTAATAATGGATTATTAAGACCTTAATATTATATTAGTAATCAATCTCAGGATCAACAAGTTGGCTCTTCTTAACTGGGGTCCTACAGGCAGATTCCCATGAAAGAAAGTTAGGAATTGGAAGCTGTTATTCAACTCACCTAAAGCTAACTCCACAGCGGGTGACAGTGTTTCTAGAACTTCACTGATAGGGCTTTGTGTGCGCCATTTGTATTTTTTCTTAGTTATCTCATCAGTGATGTGGGCATTGGAGTCAGGATGTGTCTGTCTCCCTTACATGTCAGAAAGATGCTAGGGTCATTCCTAGAGAATTGCTTTGAACATGGAGGTATTTAGCCGCCCATGGAGTCCACTCTCAGCCCGAGCTTGTCTGGAAGGGCCTGTGTAGATGTGTCCATTCTAAGACCTTTTCAAGAGTTTACTTTTCTTCTAGAAAGTTCCAGATTATTAATACTAAACTGAGATTTGGGATTCTCTTGAGTGGTTCTGAGGTCCCTGAACCAAGCTACCAGGTAGCAGATTCTCTAGATTAAATAATCACAGGACCAACCTAGATCCATTCCCAGGCTTTGTGAGGAGAGAGGTGACATTACCTCAGCTACTCCAGGGTCCTTTGGTACTTAGGCAGTGAACCCAGCCCAGTGGTTCCAACCACCATTTTCACGGGGCAGCCAGGGCCATTTTATTGCTGGTGCTTTCGTAGTGGAAAACACTACTGGCACCTCTAGTGTTCTTTCTGATAGAACCAAATGGGAACCATGGATTGGATGGTAAATATGGCAGAAAATGTGCTTTTATTCCTCTGACGGGATCTGCTGCTAACACGTCCTTTTGCACTAACTCAAACCAACTTTGCTTTCTAGTTTACACATTTAAAAGCACTTTGGCCCAGGGAACCTACCCCATAAAAGAAGCCATCTGACCATTGCTTGTATCTTAGTCCTTTTTCCATGGGTTTTATTTCTCTCTTTGATCTTTTTTCCATGTCTCCCTGTAAGAGAAGGATGAAGGATTTATACCCAAGCTGGGAATTCTTCAATAAGATTTGTACCCCTGAGGGTGGGTCTCCCCTCAATCCCTCTTCTAAGTAATACTTAATCTCAGAGTTTAAAGGCTGCTTGAAGGGTTAGACCATTGCTTTCCCATGCTTTGACATGGGTATGTCATAAACACACTTGAAGAAAGTAAGTTCTCATCGACTTCACTGCACTGTTTCTCACTGACTTCACTGCACTGTGCTTCTTTTGTTTCCACAAAAGGGGTTACATGGAATTCCTGGCAGGAAAGGAGAGAAGGGGAGCCAGGGCCACAAAGGACCTCAGGTGAGTGACTCAGAAATGCTAGTCAATTGTCTCTAATCTTTATTTTCCTCTTACTTCAGAAACATCTTTATTACTTAATATTATCTATATGGAGAGTATTTCACTATTGAATGAACCTGGGGCCCATTTGGGACACATTTTTAGCAGAGTGCACAGTCCTTGTGCAGGGTTTAAGCACTTCTGTCTCCTTCACCGGGGTTGTGCTCAGACACAGACCCGTGGTATCAGCCTGGACAAACCATTAGGAAGAGTACAAATATTACTGACTCATGTACATTTCAAAACCTAGTGCATTATTCTGGTTTTTCTAACTTTTAAAAATGATCTGGGCCATGCAGATCTCCATTGACTGTAGATGTTTGAAGTTGTCTCTACAAAGATCCCTTACCACTCAGATTTATTTAATTCCCAAGTTTAGCTTCGAATATGCCCTCTGAATCTGTTCGGTTCCTGAGTTTTTGACAGTGAGTAATGCGTGTTTGGATGATGAAGGATTCATATGAAATATATTCTGAATCTTCATTTCTTCAGCTCAACTGGTGAGAGTTCAGAAGGCCAGAGAGACCAGGGTTTGCTCAGTTATCTTCCCAGCATGCTCGTGAAAGACATTTTTGCCCATTTTCAGTTTGGAAGACTGAAACCCATTCTGCACACCGTTTTGTATGTGTGCATCATGCCATGCACAAGTGTGCCGATGACGGCACGGTGTCTGTTCAACAAAGTGCGTTACAACACATCTGTCACATTCAGCAATAATGTGTGTGGAGGCAAAGGTGCCTTTTCTGTTTCTCACTAAGACCCCATATGGACAGTGGTGTCCTTGCAGATGGAGATTTATGGTCCTCTAACTAGTACTGTAGCCTGAGTCATCTGGTTTCAGCCCAGATGTCTCTCTCCCCTGGGTGACTGGGTTTCTTGTAAGAAAGCAAGGCGTTGTTGGACATGACACGAAGAGAAGCAGAAATAATCTAATGGGTTTCTAAGAATTGCTGCAGTACTGAATTCCCCATTTTCTTTCAGGGTTCTCCTGGGCCAGTGGGAGCTGAAGGGAGTGTTGGAAGACCTGGACTTTGGGGGGAAAAAGTATGTGATTTCTTATAGATTTTAAGTACAGAAAGAAAACATATCTTCATTCTTTTCCTGGTTGTCATGTTTATTCCTTATGTTTGAATCCAAGCACCATCAACCACCTACCATCTTTTTGCTAACAGGTTTCATTTATGTATGTATTACTAACTTTATTGGTGTGATCATGGTTAGTAAGATTATATAAGTTTCAAGCTTACAGTTCCATAATACACCGTCTGTATATTGCATTGTGTGCTCACCAAAGTTTAGTCTCCTTCCATCACCATATATTTGACCCCCTTGCTTCTCTTCTCCTCTGGTAACAAACAAGCAAACTCACTGACACAGACAACAGTATGATGCTAACACATTCTTTTCCTCCCACTGAGAGTTAACTGCTTACCTCTCCATGAATCTGTCCCATTTTACTAGGAGAGACACAGTGATCTCACTCATCCTAAAACAACTCTGAAAAACATAGCGGCCAAGTTGGGCCGAGAAAGGAGGAAATTGGGAAGGGTGTGTCAACTCAAATCTACTTGTGCATGTGGTTACCTGTCTAACTCAACCTACCTTCGCTGAGGTGGCTCTGTTGGAGATTGTCAGAGAGCAAACTATTGGCCTATTCAGAATCTCACCCTGCTGCTTAAAACCAGGACCTGCTCAGTGGTCTGGAACCAGTCAGGTCATCCAGGGGGCTTAGCTTAGAAGGACCCATACTTGGTTTTAATGCTGTGTTGTCACCATTGTGAAAGTCTTACTATTTGAACAGGAGACCTGAGCCCCACAAATTATGTAGCCAGTCTTAACTCCCCCAGAACCCTTAGGAAAATCTCCAGACTTCAGAGTAGCTTAGAAGGCCCTTTGCTGGTTTACTTTGTTTACATAGCTCCTCTCCTCGGCATGTCTGCCCCGGGCTTCTCACCAATGCCTTCCCTCTACCTGGCTTATTCTCACTCCTCACTTGATCCTTTTTCCAGCTCACACAACTCTTTCCTCAAACCTCAGCATCCATGCTCCTTGTGTTCAGGCGGCCAGCCTGCCAGCCCCACCGAATCTAATTTAGATTCCCCGTCCCTTTGCTGCCACAACATCCTGAACGTTATCACACTCATTTAGAATTGCCTGTCTGTTGTCTCTCCTTCCAACCAGGACCACACCTACCAGGTTCAGTGGTTTATTTTCCACCACAAGAATACCGTTGGATGGGCAAAAGGACTACTTTCCCTAGAGTACATTTTCCACCCTTGCTTCTCCAGGGAAAGCAGTCTTTGCGTCCAGCCATGGGTTCTGCTGATGTTTCCTGCTTGCCTTTGGGAAGATCCTTATTTGTTTTCTACGCCCCATCTCCTTACTTAGCATTGAACCTTCATGGAGGACCCTGTCTCCCCGTCTAGTGGTCAGAGCTTCACATGGTGGGAGCTAGGTTTGATTTCACCAGTCTGAAGCTCTTCTTGTTCCATTTACTAGGGAGAACCTGGAGTTCCTGGAGCTCCTGGGCCAGTGGGGCAAGCTGGACAGCGAGGAAGACAGGTATGAGGTTTCAGGACCCTTACCCTTTCCCAGCTCCACGTGCTGAATTTGAGGCGAAGAAAAGGGGACTGACACCATCTGGGGTGGTGCAGGTATTTCAGCACCTCCTAGGTAGATGTGGGGACTTCTGCCATCCCCTGCAGCTCTCATTCTATAGCTAGTCTGTGAAAGTGAGGGAGAACAGCCAGAGGGCCGGGGGGCATGCAGAGTGTAATGGATAAGTTAGAACAGGCATTTCGGTACTTTAACAACCAATATGGCCATATAGACCTAGGTCAGTTGAAAAACAGCACTGCCCATTTTTCTCGCCTTCTTGCCAAACCCTAGGGCCACAGCAAGAAAAGGGGAACAGGGCCAAGAAATGGGCATCTATGTTAGTGGTTCTGGCTGTACCAGGGTCTCAGTTCATGGAGCAAGCAATATAGGAACAATTTTTTTATTGCTTTTTAAAAATGATGTTTATTACAATTGTCATGCATAGATATTATAGAAAACATACCAAGCATAAAAGATGGGAAATGGGGAAGAAAAAAAATTACTTATAATCCCACCATTCTGAGATATTTATCATTAATATTTTTTAAAAATCACTTTATTTTTTCCTGTTAACAGTGTATCAGGAGTCTATTTCCATATCATTACATTTCCCTTCAACATCACTTTTAACAACTTCAAAATATTCCATTGAATGTATGTACCTTAGTTCATTTGACCAATCTCTTATTATTGGACATTTATTTTTTGATCGTTATTGTTAAGAATATCACAGATGTCCCGCCTTTTCTTCCCTCATTGCCACCATCCACCCAAGGCCCCTCGCCACCCTAGGCCTTCACCACACTGTTGTCTGTGTCCATGGCTTATGCATATAAGGTTATTTGGTTAATCTGTTCCTCCCTGCCCCCACACCTCCAGAATCATCAGTCTTTTCCATGTTTTCAAGCCTCTGGATTTATTTTATTCATGAGTTTATTTTGTTCATTAGATTCCACATGTACGTGAGGTCATGTGATATTTGTCCTTCTCTGACTGGCTTATTTTACTTAGGATAATGTTTTCCAGGTCCCTCCATGCCAGCTCTTAGGGTAATAGATCCTTTTTTTTTTTTTTTACGGCTGGACATTTAGATTGTTTTTGTTTTTTTTATGGTCATAAACAGCACAGAAATAAACATTCCTGTACCTAATTAAATTTTTTGAACAAAGCCATAATTCGTTTCTCCATAGAAATTTCTAGAAGTAGCACAGCTGGGTCAAAGATTATGTACACATCCAAATAAGGTTTGAACTCTATTGCAGAGCGCCCTTGAGAAAATTCCAATGACATATGCACCCATGTGTTATGCAGAAGAATGCTCACTTCAGGGCATCCATACCAACAATGGATATTGTCACTTTCTTATTTTTATCTTTACCAATTTTATTCACAAAAAAATAGTGTCTCATTACTGTTTCAAATTGCATTTTTTTTTTTTTTTTGGTTACTTGTAAGGATAACATTTTATCATATGTCTATTGGCCATTTATAATTCTTTTGTGGGGAGGGGATTCCTCACCCATGCCCTTTAGACCAGCTCCTAATTTTCCAGGCAAGTAACAGCCACTGACTCTGGAAGTCCTGAATGACCATCTCTCTGCTTTCTGCATGTTTGCAGAGTGGAGCTGGCCAAAGAAGTAGCAGGCTCATACCAGAAAGTGAGGAAAACCCAACAACTAGCATGTTCCCAGAGTTCAAGGCCACTGATTTAAGCCCCCTCTACATGATAGTCCCCAGTGCTTCTCTCCTGACATTATAATCTCTCCAGTATAGACGACAGTTAATTTTCAATTTTGAGAAATTGAAATGAACTGATATGTTCACAGGGAGATTATGGCATCCCAGGCTACGGTCACATGGGACAAAAAGGAGCACAGGTAAGTATGGGAAACAATTATTTCTTTAATTGATGAATCAAACCTAAACAATAAAGAAAAAATGATCATACTGTGGAAGTGTTGTATTAATCAATTTATGTTTCCTGCTGAAAATCATAGGGCCCAAGAGGATTTCCTGGAGATATGGGGGAAAAGGTATTGTGCCTGCGACCTTTTGAAATTGCCATGATCCTAACCTCTTATTTAAGAATGGAGATACGCTTCTAGATCTCAACGAAACAAACAAACAAAAAGCAAGGCATTTTGCCTGGGTTTTATGAAAAAGGACCTTACTTAACCCTATGAATCTTTAAGTTGGAGAAGATTGTCCTGTCCTTCATTGCCTGGTGTCTCTTGTCTTTAGACCCTACCTTTAGGTATCCTCTTGTGTTTAGTCCTTTGTCTCCTTCTTGATTTCTCGGCCTCAGTGATCTCATTCAAAACTTCTGGCTTCAGCTATTGCCCTTCAAATATGTGGCCTTTATTCCTTCTCATCTGAAAGATTATCGTATTCTTCTTATTGGTCTCCTACTTTCCACTTGTCCCTGCTTCAGTTAATCCCAAACACTGCTGTTACTTGATTTTTTCCCCAAGGCATAGCCTTAATTTTGTTACTCTCCTGATCAAACATCTCCAAAATTCTCATCACCTACCAGACTGAAATCCATCTCCATGTTCTAGACCCAGACACACCTTCCATTTCAGCCAGAGTAGGTCGTGTTATATCTGTTTTGGACACTGAAATTATGTAATGAGGTTTTCTTTTTTTTTTTTTATCCTCACCCGAGGACATTTTTCCATTTTTTGTACAGACAGAGTAGGAGGGAGAGAGAGGAAGAGAGAGAGTGAGAAACATCGATGTGAAAGGGACACATCGAGTGGCTGCCACCCGCACGACCAACCAGGGCCGGGGACAAACTGCAACCAAGGTACATGCCCTTAGCGGGAACCGAACCCGGGTCTCTCCGGACCGCAGGCGGGCGCTCTAACCGCTGAGCCAAACCGGCCAGGGCATGAGGTTTTCTTTAAGTGTCCTGTCTAGAAGAGTGTCTCCCATATAGTTGATGCTCAGAATAAAATTTAGAGTATGGATTTTAAAAAGTGTCTAATTAAGCAAGTCAAATCAACTATAGGAAGAGAGACAATATTAAATCCCTTTAAAAGTGCTTTTAATTAATGAATTAGCAAAAAAGATCCTTTCCTTAGGTAGAAAAGGGTATAAGCAAGGGCTATGTAAATGACTGTTAGGACAAGAGGAACAATTTTGTGATTTACTGACCAGGGAGAAAGCTATGCATTGCATATCGATAAGTAAGTGCTAAAATTAGTCCTACTAAAGTCAGAGTAAATTTTTTTTTTTTACCTTCAACTTTTTCAGAAATGATTCATAAATTTAGGAAGTAATTCCCTATTTAGTATTTTATGTAGTCAATGTCCCATAGGTTTTGCCTGATTTTCAAGCATTTTTTTAGATATTTCAATTAACTGATTAGGTAGCCATTACATACAATTATACATAAATATTTATATTAGAAAATTTAAAATCGTTTGTAGAATATTTAAGTGTGTCGATGACTTAGTTCCGAATGATAGGGGAGGATGACTTTTAGTGTTTAATATCTGGTATAGGTATAAGATCAATTAGGTTTTGGGTTGGAGAGAATTATTTTTATTTCTTCATAGCAAATGTTTTCAATTGATTTCTTACCTCTGAATCTTCAGGGTGAAGTTGGCAATCCTGGAATTCCTGGGGGGCCTGGACCCAAAGGATTTAGGGGACAAAGAGTAAGTGGCCTACAATCCAGAAATAAAACATGTTTCTTTGAAAGACTCTGGTTTTTATGTAGTAATAGTAAATGTGGGTTATTTATTCATCCAAAGGACATCTGAAATGTTACTTCCTAGCTGTGTGATCTTCAACACCTCTTTGCAGAGTCTCTGTTTCTACAACAGGAGAGTTGAATGGAATGACACCAAAGGTCATTTTCAGCTCTGAAAGCCTGTGGTTCTGTGGTTATAAACATTTACAGGTTGATAACTGACTGTTCCAAGGACTGTCAGTGTCATCCAGTCTTCTAAGGCCCACACTACAGCCCAGAATATTGATCCTATGAGTGGAAATGAAGCTGACATGTTTCTACTGTGTCTTTGAGGGTTTTCTGACAATTCCACTACCCATAACCAAGGTCACCTGGGTATTCATTTTGAGGAAGACTGTTGGCATCTTCTAATTAGTGAAGTGCAGAGTAGTAGAATGCTATGCTATTTAAAGACAAAATGCTGAGGCAAGCGTCCTTTCATTCTAAGGTTTGGGTATAATATCAGTAGCCATTATCAGCATGAAAAAGATACAATTCAACAGATACTTTCCATCTGGCTGGGTATATTTTATTAGCACCCATATCCATCACCTTACAGTAAGGGAACGACATAGCCCTCCCATGTCCTCTTATGTATGTGGGCAATTATTTCTTGTATTTGATCCTTTGCAGGTGGGAGGTTTTTTATTAGCTCTCTGGGTGCCCTAGTATATTTGCTTTAATATTTTTAGCACCAATCCTAGCTTATAACTAATTTAGATTTAAACGCACAGCCAGTACCAGGGCAAAATGTGTCACTAAATAAAGAGGCTAAGAGAGAAATGGATGTTTACCAATGGTTAAGAATGGCTATTTATAGTACAAGTAAGGAATTTACTGGTCTTGAATTAATAGTTGCTTTCTTTTAAAAATTATTTTTAGTTGTAAGGTCTCATTCAAACTGAGGTAGTCCCATGGCTATATGACGTGGAAAGTAACACATTTCTATCTACAGCTCACTGAAGCTTTGAAAGGTGCAAGGGGACCTCGAGGACCTCACGGCCCTCCTGGACGGACAGTAAGTATATCCATGAGAACTAAGTCACATACATTATTCTGTTTTCTAGGCTGTGCAATGGAAAGGGCACAGAATTTAAAGTCAGAAGCACTGGATTCAGGTCCAGATTCTGCTTTTTACTAGCTGTGTGGCCTGGGGCCAGCCACTGAATCTCTCAGTGTGCCTCTAAAATGAAAATGATGTACCCTGTGCTAACCCCACCAAAAGGTAGCTGAGAAGATCACACAGTCAAAAGTGAACTCTCTTTGAAAACTATACAGTTCAATGCAAATATTAGATCTTTCTGTTATTTTTTACTGGTGTTTTAAAAATAGGGATGGGATTGCATAAGCTTCATACAAGTTTAAGTTGGCCAAGTTCCCTTATGCTAGGCAAGTTGATAGAGTTTCCTAAACCCGTTAATAATGCCTTCCTAGCCTCAACATGTAAACTCAAGAGGTATTTGGAAATATTAACTGCAGCTTTTCACTGTGATTTCATTACAAGGGAAATGTCACCTGTGGAAGTGTTCCTGGGCAGAGTCAGGCTCATCTCCCTCTGATGAAATATCCACATCTCTGTTTTAGTTTCTCTCGAGTAATTGTAATGATTTATATACATGTCTCTGTCCCCTAATGAGCACAGTCAGCTGAGGACTCCAACACCTGTGGCACAGGCAGCATTGCGTAAGGAGTGGAGGACTGCTTACCTTGTTTTGTGCATTATGTATATTTTCCGACTACCTGGAGGGGTCCTCTAACTTGGGACTTTATAAGAGAAACAAAAGATGGGAGCATTTTGTGCACAGGTGAAGGCAGAGTACTATGAGAATCATCTACCTATAACGGGTACTCTGACACAATCTTTTATTTCTTTTGTATTAACTGGTAAGTATTCTTAGTCATGTGGGTGAGAATCTGGTCTGTGAGCCAATATGGCTCAGTCTGGATTTACCTCTTGTTCAGATTCTGGAACTCTCATCAGGGTGGGTGTGGGGGGATCCCATATTTCCCTGGATTTGTGCTTGGCCCTGCCGATCTGGTAGAACGTGGCTTCTTTGTCTCAGGCCCTTGATCCCCAACCTCTGCTTAAAAACTTGTTCATAGTTACTCTTAAATCTTTTAGAACACACTCCCTACAGTTCTGATCCTCTGTAAGATCTGGACTGCCTATTCTATTTGTTGGCCAGAAGCTGTTCCCCTCTCTGTTTATGTGGCTGTGCATGCTTTTCTGTCTACTGCCATAAGTTGTGAAGGAAAGGATATGACTCAGCATTATTTAGTGCATGATTTCCTGATTTGGGTCAGGAACAAATTATTCTCTCATGGGCAGAATCATGGATGCCACAGTAGTTCTGGTTAACAGCAGCAGCATCCGGGGGGCACTTCAGCATTCAGCAGACATTTAACTGATTATTGGATGAATGGATGAACAGATAACACAGTTGCCATTTAGAACAAAGATTCTTGCACTGACATTCATGGTTGAGCAGCAGGGGAGCCAGTGAACTTGTACAAGTATGAGCATGTGATAGCATTTTCTGAAACCAGCATCCTAGCATTCACCAGTTGCCTCAAGGGATCCTTGTGCACAAACATGTGGAGAACCAGCTGCCAAGGCGAATCCTGATCCTGATAAAAGGAAAAAGGAAGGGGAGAAGAGAAAAGCTTAGGCTGGCAAGAAAGGACTGCCTTTTTAATTAATCTCACTAATTCCTTGTACTCCGTTCTTACATAACCTCTCAGCATTTGTGACCTCCGTGTGTCTGCTCTACCTTTGTGTAATGCTCATTTTCCTATGTAATTGTCTTTGTTTCTTTCACACATGTAGAAGGTATAGGCTGCTGTCTGCTTTTTAAACACCTAAAAGGTTCCTAATAAACCTGTGCCTCCGCCTTCCCAATAAATCCCTCTTCTTCCAGCCATACTTTGGGAAGTCTACTGTTTACCATTTGAAGTTTTCTGATGAGAAATGCCTTCTAAGTGTTATGTCTTTAGTACAGATATCTTTAAGAAATTAAATAATTCAGTAAACTCTGGGCAGACTTTAGCTTTATTGATCTGACACTAAAACAAAAAAACTTGATACTCCTGATTTAAGTGGGGAAAGAGCTTTGTAATCCACCCGTTCAGGGAAAGTTGAATGATCTCTGCCAGCTGTGCTTTTAAGAAAGGTTTCCCATCACCATGTATTTGACCCCATTTACCCTTTTCTCCCCCCCACCCCCTTTCCTCCTGGTAACCATCAAACTGTTCTCTGTGTCTGAGTTTTTGTTTGTCTTGTTTGTTTGCTTATTGTTTTCTGTTTTATATCCCACATATGAGTGAAATCACATGGTTCTCGACATTTTTCATCTGACTCATTTCACTTAGCTTGAGATTCTCAAGACCCATCCATGTTTTTACAAATGGCGGTCTTCTTGCCTATGGCGGAGTAGCATTCTGTTATACCTGTGTACCATATCTTCTTCTTCTTTTTATCCTCACCCAAGGACACTTTTTCATTTTTTGTTCAGATAGAGTGGGAGGGAGAGAGAGGAAGAGAAAGAGAGAGAAACATCGACATGAAAGGGACACATCGAGTGGCTGTCACCCACACAACCCAACCAGGGCCGGGGACAAACTGCAACCAAGATACGTGCCCTTAGCGGGAACCAAACCTGGGTCTCTCTGGACTGCAGGCCAACGCTCTAACCACTGAGCCAAACCAGCCAGGGCCCATATCTTCTTTACCAAATCATCTATCAAAGGACATGTGGGTTGTTTCCATGTTGACAGATATTTGTAGCCTTTCACTATTTTGGAAATTCTCCAAAATACCAAAATGGGGTCAAATTCAAAGATTTCTGTCTTTCTGAAATAAAATTAATGTACCCAAGAACATCATGTTTAACTAAAAAAATAATTTAAAAAACTGAAGATTTTTTTCCTTTGCTTTTGTTTTGACATCGAAGACTCCAATTCACATACCAATAACTTGCTCTGGTTTTGTTTTCCTAGGGCCCTAAAGGCACAGCAGGGAAGCCTATATATTCGGTATGTATCTTCTTATTCATTAAAGAAAAACCAACCTAACTGCTGGCAAAGAAGTATGGTCACTTGAAGGTCACTGTGCTCATGTTTCTGTTCTCTCTCTCTATTTATAGCAATGTGACCTGATTCAGTTTGTGCGGGACCACAGCTGTGAGTATCTGTGTCTCAGGGAACAAGAGCATCTGTGATGGGCAGGGCACTTAGGACGGAAGCAGTGTGGGTATGCAGGGTCAGTCGGCTGAATTCACTGTGGCAGGCTTGTCATGGGTGCCTGTGCGGGAACAACTCCCATCAAAGGTGGGGGGAAAGGGGTATGAGTAAATGACATATAGTTTTACTTAGCTCATGAGGTGCAATTCATTCAGGAGAGAAAGCATGCCTATGGGAAATAATTAGAGACCAACTCAAATGGTGTGTGAATGTGCTCACACATTCATATAACAATAATGTTCAAAGGCCTGAGAGAATGTGGTTTTAAAGGGATGAACATGGGAGTTTGGCAGTAGTTAGTTAGTTAGTTAGTTGGTAAAGGCTCCTTGGGTGGGGTTAATTGAATCCCACTATGGGGAAGTGATGGGGACTGGCAAGACAATAATTTCAGCAAAGGAATAAAGAAGTCAACAAATAGAGGGTTTGGCTTTGGTTATGAAGAAGGGGGAAATAAGGTAGAAGACACCTAGTAATGTCATTTCTGCAAATTTATCCTAAGGAAATAAAGCAAAACAAGAAAAAAAATTATAGGTACAGATGATTGTTGAAATATTCATTAGAGCAAAATAACTGTACACTTATACTCATTACACTTATGGAATAATTACGTTATGGTGCATCATCTTCTGATAAAATAGTAAGCAGATATGGTTTTCATGAAGACAATGAGAGTATGAAAAATATTGTCATTAAAAAATCAGAAAATTAAATTGGACCCTTATTATGTTTATATAGAGGTAAATGTATATGCATAGAAATAAGTGCTAGAGATGAAGGTAGAAAAGGGTAACAACATATTGTGTTAGGGAGGTGGAATTTAGGTGATCATTCTTCTTGTTTGTATTGTGCTTTATAATCATGCTTATATAATCACAATCAGAAAACTGCAAAATGGAAAAATCAGAGACTTCTTTTCTGGAGACTGGATGAAGATGTAACCATGGCAAGTGCTTGGCAAGGACAGAGCAACAACTAAAACAAGTTTAAAATCCCTGTAAGGCCAGATGGGGAGGAGGCTCAGTGTCTCTGAGGGTCAGGGGGCAAAGGAGGGGTTGAGAAGGGAAACCAATGGCAGGAAAACGTGATGCCTTGAAACATTTTCTAAGTAGAGGATCATTGTGTAGGCCCGAAATTGAAATGAAACACAGGCAGCTGATGACATGGGGCTGTAATAAAGGTGAGGACCAGGGAAGGAGACTCAGATGTTGAAGCCACTCAAGTGTCTGTGCTCTTTAGAGCCACATGGATGGATGAGGTTCCAAATAATGGGAATCTAAAGAGATGAAAACAGAACCCCAAAGAATGAACCCAGGAAGACACTTTAACGGGGGGTGGGACCAAAGGACAGGAAATGGCAAGTCCTGACAAAGGGCCACTTGAAAAGGAGCAAGAAGACGGTTGCAGTTTGTCCCCAGCCCTGGTTGGTCGTGTGGGTGGCAGCCACTCGATGTGTCCCTTCGCATGGATGTGTCTCTCTCTCTCTCTTCCTCTCTCTCCCTCCCGCTCTATCTGAACAAAAAATGGAAAAATGTCCTCGGGTGAGGATAAAAAAAAAAAAAAAGAAAAGGAGCAAGAAGAAACCAATGGAGAGCAGACTGAAAGGGAGGGGCCTGTGGAAGGGGGGGTGGGGTACAAAGACTCTCCAGCAGAGGGCGGAGGTGAGGAACAGGCCCTGGGCCACAGGGACAGGACAAAGGGAGAGCCAGAGGAGGGCAGTTGAGAGTGTGAGGGTAGTTTTCCAACACTGGATGAAAGGAGTTAGCCAGGAAATTTGGGGGTCAGGGCAGAGTGGTGAGCATGAATTGCAGAATTTGAATCTTAGATGAGGATTTGGGTGCAGGCCTTTAGAGCCAGTTCAGATTACTTCACTTTATAGATGACATTACCAAGGCCCTGCAGTGCTGGACTCCTGATCTAACATGTTTGCTCTTCAAATCCTGCACCAGGTCCTAAGCTGGTGGCTGGCCCCGAATGCCAGAATAAAATAAAAGATCTAGGAGGCTGGGGGAAATAGGGAGAGAGGAGTGTGGTTGAGAATAAAACAAAAGGACCCAAATAATTAGTTTTGGAGGGGGAGGCATAATTAAAGAGGATTTTTAGGAAAAATACATTTAAAGAGAAACACACTAAAAGAAGTCACCTAGTTTTGCCCTGGCTGGTGTGGTTCATTTGGTTGGGCCTCATCCCACACACCAGAGGTTGCTGGTTCTATTTCCTGACAGGGCACATACCCCGTTGCAGGCTCGATCCCCAGTAGGGGGAGTGCAGGAGGCAGCTGATCCATGTTTCTCTCTCACATTGTTTCTCTATCTCTCTCCCTCTCCCTTCCTCTCTCTCATACAAAGTCAATCAAAAAAAATTTTTTTAAAGAGGTCAACTAGTTTACCTAAAGCCACCCAGATTCAAACCCAGACAGTTGTGTCTATTTCCAGCACCTGTGCTTCTAGTCTCATAACCAGGCTGGAGGTTACACATAAAAAGTTCTCTGTTAGGAAAAAAGGGATCTGTTTCAGGCCTTGAGAGGCAGAGGAGGCTATGGGTCATCTGTGCTCTTTGCTGGCAGAGGCTCAAGACACAAGATGTTCATAGGGTTGATGTGGGGAGCTTGGCCTGTGGACAGCAGAATGGAAGGCCAATTTATTGTCAGGGCTAATAAAATCTTTTAATACATTGGAGTGACTCATTTGCTTCCTAGGAACTGAATCAAGAGAAATGAACATGGAAATTATCAGGCCTGTGCTTCCTTAAAGATTGACGGGTATTTTCCTGCTTCATCTGACAGAGTAAATCACTTAGAGAAACCAGATGCTATTTTGCTCAGGAGAAACTGTTGGGGGCTACCCTTCTCTCTATAGATATGGAGATCATTCAAACATGGGAGCTATATGTTTTAGCTGAGACAAAGTTCATCTGGAAATCCTCACAGTTCTACAGGAGAATAGAGCTTCCCAAGGTGTTCACTGGGGAAGAAAATAAACCCCATATTTTAGCCTTGCCTTGCTGGATGACTCTCAGAAGGCTATAAGAAGAGATACAAAACAAATTGAATTTTAGCTCTCTTGCCATTTAATCAGAGGATCATCTATTCTGCTTCTAAGACAAGTGACCAGTGTTTCAGATTTCAACCAAAATTCTGCTAGTCTGAATTTCACAAGGAGAAAGGGTCAGGAAGGGTCACTAATTAATAAAATTCTGTGTACGTCTTACTCAATCCTTCAGCCTTGGCTTCCTGTAATTTAGGCATTAGCCACAGGTGCAATTAGAGTCAAACCAAATATTAAGCTTTGTTGAAATTTTATGGTTTGGAATTATTTTTAGTCTGTGTTCCAAAAATGTAATTGAATCCTCTCTCTCTCTCATTTTTTATAGCTTGTTGGAAAGGTGAGTATTCTTACCATCCTATTTTTCTTGCTGAAATAATTGCTGCATTCTGACAAGACACATTTGAAAGAAACTCTCATCCCTGTGGGGGAAAAAGGACATCTTAATTCTGTTTTAATTCATGTTTGACTAGAGTGTAAAATGGTAACCCCCAACCTCCAGCCCCTTCCCACTGTTCTTTCTAGGTCCTGTCATGACTTGTAACTCAGTTTGTTCACGGAGTAGGCCCCGTGTTGCGGATGGATTCAGTGACTGGGTTCTCTGATGAACCATATTCTATTGCCCTGTTTGCTGCTGGACCCATGGACACCAGATTCTTGGACAAGCCACGTCTCCTTTCTTCCCTCTGACCTACATCTTTCATCTCACTAAGTACCCACCACGTGTCAACCTGACCCTGTCTGAATGGTCTCTCCAGTGTTGCATGGTGCCTTAGATCGCTGGGATGACATTGCCACTCAAGGGGTTATGTCACCTTCAAGGCCTGGCCTCCTAGAGGCTGCTGAAGTAGACCCACATGGTCTTTGAGCTTACCGCAAAGTATGGCATCACTCACTTTAATTCCGAAACAAAACAAAAACCTGGTACATGTGAGTGCCATATAAAACTGTATGAATTTGAATTAAATCTGCCAGCTACTCTGCTGGGCACCAGGAAAGGGAGGCTGTAAGTCTCCACTTTTTGTAGCCAAATATTAATGCCTCATCTTTTTGCAATACTTTCATGCTAGCAAAGCAGATTCCCTCCCTTCCTTTACATTAGGTACCTCCAGCCTACAATTTTGTGTAACACTTGCATTTCCCTACATTTCAGTGAAAATCAACCTTACTGGAGTAAAGGGTTTGGGAAGGGCTTTTGATCCAGTGAGATAACTTAGTACTTCTCATTTTTCATTTTTGTAGGAATGTGTCCAGTGTATCCAACAGAACTGGTATTTGCCCTGGACCAGTCCTATGGTGTCACACAGCGGAGATTTAATGAAATGAGGGATGCTGTCATTTCTATTGTCAATGACCTTAACATCAGGGAGAACAATTGCCCTGTGGGAGCGAGAGTTGTTGTGGTTTCCTATGACTCAGGCACCAACTATCTCATCCGTTGGTCCAGCTACCATAGCAAGAAACAACTGCTCCAGCTTCTTTCTGAAATAAAATACCAAACCCCCGCCAAAGCCGGAGACCTCGGCAGTGCCATGAGGTTTGTGGCCCGGAACGTTTTCAAGCGGACATATGCAGGAGCCAATGTGAGGAGAGTTGCTGTGTTTTTCAGCAATGAACAAGCATCCAGTAGATCATCCATCATCACAGCCACCATGGAGCTTAGCGCCCTGGAGATCAGCCCAACAGTCTTTGCTTTCAATGAAAGGGTTTTCCTTGATGAGGCTTTTGGGGTAAGAACTCTTGGCAACTTCATTTTGAAGATAGTGGTACTGCAGGATGGGAGTGGTGGGGAGTAAGGGGAGACAGGTGGCCTCTTGGGACCTTTTGCGGTTTACACAGCCGTCTTGTTGCCAGGGTCCATGGAATCTAAAAACAAATAATAACAGCAGTCAATAATAATAATAGCGCCACATTTACTCATCTCTTGCTGTGTGCCAGGCACTGTCCCTAAAGATGTACACACATACTCATACATTGTCACAGCTCTCTGAAGTCAACACAGTTATCTCCATTTGAAAATGAGGAAACTGAGGCCCAGAGAATTTGAATGGCTTTTCCAACTTTGTACAGCTACTGAATGTCTAAACAAGATTCAAACTTGGGTCTGTCCGATTGAAAGGGCCATGAGTATGGTGCTCTACCAGCCCTCTGCTGATCTGTTCTCAAATCTGCATCTCACCGCACAGCTGGTCTTAACCTGTAATGGGTGAAATTTATGGAATCTTTGAACCCCTAATGTTGTACAAAACATGTGATATGTAGGAACATTTTTCCCAAGAGAGATTCCTTCCCTTTTAGATCCACAGATTCTTATGGGATCTATGCTACCCTCTCCCTCCCACCAAAACTGAATAACCTCTTCACCTACTGTTCTACTATTTTAAAATATATTCAAATTATCCATGAGATACATTTCTGGAGCTGTGTGAAGGCCTCATTTTGTCCAAGAGGTTATAAAGGTCTATTTTTATACAAATACTCATATAATGAAGAGAATCAATCTGCTTATAACATACTCAATACTTTTTAAAAAATAGGAGCCACCAGAAGAGTCACAATAGATCCTGACAGAAAGGTTTATAAAAAGTCAAAGTTTTTTCTCTAAAAATAATGATCTCCCAACATACTAGATAATTTATTTATCTGTTATGGTATGGTATAAGTCCCCACACAAACACATAAGGTAGAGGTTTTATCTGCTTTGTTCATTTCTGTATCCCTAGCACCTAGAACATTAATTATAACATTACAGGCACTCAACAAATATTTGTTGAATGAATAAAAGAATGAATGAATGAATGGAGAATATGTGGTTTACTACTATGAATAAATTTTCTTGATTTACCAAGGCAGCATTTAATCTTTATATGGGGGACCAACAAGATCAAATACAAAATAACACCCAAAGCATCCATAGTAGAGATTAGGAACATAGTAAATACTTTCAAACCATAAGGCTGGAATGATTATAAATATTTCCAAATGCTCACTTTGCTCTTTACAGAAAAAAACAGAGGGCGTGGCTTTCCTAACTTTTTTAAAAATTATTTTTATCTTCATCTGAGGAATTCTTGCATTTATCTTCAGATAGAGCAGGTGGGAGAGGGAGGAAGAGAGAGAGAGAAACATTGATGTGAGAGATACATATCAAGTGGTGCCACCCACACAACCCCAACTGGGGCCGGGGACAAACTGCAATGGAGGCACAAGCCCTTAGCAGGAACTGAACCCGGGACTCTCTGGTCCTCAGGCCGCTGAGCCAAACCAGCCAGGACAAACTCTTTAATTTTCCAACAGACATGGAGAAAAAAATATAAGCATCTTTATGGATTAAGAGATATTTTCATTACTACCTGGGAATGATAGAATTATTTCATTGTAATATAAGCCTCTGCCTTACATGGTGCCTTACACAGTAAATGCCCAATAAATAGTTCTTGACTGAATGAATGAGTGAATGAATGAATGAATGAATGAATTAATACTACATGTTGCCCATTTCAGTGAGTATTAAAAGCAAAAAAGGTAATCAAAAAACACAAAATCAGGCAGTGTACTAACAAGAATTTTTCATAGACTCTGTCTACCACCTTTTGAAATAGACTTTTAATTGGAATTTGTGATTGGGAAGTCTATTGGGCATCTGAAAGATGTACCTTCTTGTAGACAGTATGATTGGGGTGGAAAGAGTTGAGATCACTACTTAAAGAGGTCAAAGAAAACTTGTGAGTGTAAAATTTCTGCAGGACCCAATTTCAGAAGCTGATGTGTGGCATGTATTCAGCTGGTGCGTAGTCAGAAGAATGTCAAAATTTAGTGCAGAATTGCAGGCCTGGAAATAAGAGAGAGATTTCAATACCTGCCCCACTGGATGAATCTGGTGGTTACCTTGTGGCAGTTTTTTCATCATAAAATAGGAATGCTGATACCTGTTCTATATTCTTCTTTGAATTATGTTTAGGATAAAAGGAAGATTTTGTGTGTGTGTGTGTGTGTGAAGATGCATTGAATAGAACAAAGGGCTATAATACAAAGTAATAGCAATTGGGTGTTTTTCAAACAAATACTTAAAGTGGGTGCACAATGGCTTCCTGAAAATGACTAAAGAAAATGAGCAAATAAGCATATGCTTTTTTTTTTTTTTTTTTCCCCTTCAATACAGTTTGACAACACTGGAACATTTCAGGTGATTCCAGCTCCTTCAAATGGGGAATATAAAGGATTAGAAAGACTTCAGCGCTGCACACTTTGCTATGGTAAGACCAAGGAAAAGAATTTTTATGCTGAAACACTTAAATGCTCTGTGTATGAGTTACTAAATCTGCCTTAATCAGACATTTTTATTTTTGATTGCAAATTTTGTTTTAAGTTTTCCAGTTTTTCTAGCACCATATGTCAGGGTTTCAATCTCTGATGTTTGCAGTTTCCATAGAATGTAGAAATTGTTGAGAAGATTATTCTAATCAATGTGGCTTTTCTTGGGAACAGTTTGGTAGTTTGTATCAAAAGCTTCTACAATATTGAAGATATTTTCTGAGTTTGGAGATAACTTGTAGATTTTAAGTATATATGCTACTCGCATCTGCTTTTAACAAAGACCTTTCCAAATCGTCTGCTAGTTGCTACAGAAATGTTGGGGCATTAAAATTTTCTCATTAATTTAAATGATGTGAGATTGAAGAATTGTTGGTCAGATTATTAATTCCTGGTAATCAGTCACTGAATCACTTGAAGATATCAAACAACAGTCTTGTGCCAACATTGAACCAGTGATACGTCTTTCTTTGTATTTTCAGATAAATGTTTTCCAAATGCTTGCATCAAAGAGGTTTTCTTACCTGAAAATTCAGACATTGATGTAGCTTTCCTCTTAGACAATTCTCAGAATATAGCCAATGATGAGTTTAAGGCTATGAAAGACTTGGTGAGCTCAATGCTTGACAACTTCAACATTGCCTCAGACCCTTTAATCTCAGACTCTGGTGATAGGATTGCCTTGTTGAGCTATTCTCCTTGGGACAGTTCTAGGAGAAAGAAGGGTACAGTGAAAACAGACTTCACATTTACAACTTATAACAACCGAGTCCTAATGAAAAGGCACATCCAGAATTCCGTCCAACAGTTAAATGGAGATGTCACCATTGGCCATGCCCTACTGTGGACTATAGAGAATCTCTTCCCAGAAGCACCCAACCTGAGAAAACATAAAGTCATCTTTGTGGTCTCAGCTGGAGAAAATTATGAGAGAAAGGAAGTATTAAAGAAGATGGCTCTGAGGGCCAAGTGTCAAGGCTATGCCATATTTGTGATTTCCCTGGGCTCGCCACAGAAGGACAACATGGAAGAGTTAGCCAGCTACCCACTTGAACACCATCTGATACAGCTTGGGAGAATTCATAAACCAGATCTGGATTATATTGTGAAGTTTTTAAAGCCATTTGTATACTCCATCAGAAGTAAGTCATTATATCTTTTTCTGTTTGTTTTAACAAATTTGTTCATTAATAGTATTGATAACCTAACATATCTTTATATCTATAATGAACCCAAATATATGAATTAGACTTTTGGTGAGTTGGGGAAAGGGACATATCTGATAGGACATATCTGATTATACTCTGTTTATATCTTGGTTATAATGTGGTGAGACTTTCTTTTTTCATGAAAGGATGTCTCTTAACCAAAATCTCAGCACTTCAGAAAGCACAGGGTTACTGGAGTTCTTCTCAGCCACACTCAGTCAACCTAAAGAAATTTTAGTCACTCTTAGATGGTCTCCAGGATGAGCATCTAAATAAAATGTGTTTCTGCTACCCCAGGTTTATTTCCAACCTTGGTCCTACCTGGAGACCCGTGTGAGTGGAAAGACAGCACACACACTGCTCCCAAAGCGTGTGAGCATACAACACGTGGTCGTTGAAATGCAGGTTCTGATTCAGTATGTCTAGAGTGGAGGCTGAGATTCTGCATTTCTAACACTTTCCCCAGTAATGGCAATACTTCCGGTCCAAGGATGACACTTTGAGTAGCAAGGCTGTGGGCCAGTGCACTGCAGTGTCACCGCTGGATGGGTGCGAGTTCACAAACTGAGCTGTGAAGGGAGAAATACAGAAATTGAGAGTAAGCATCCAGAAACTTTTAAAGCAATTTGACATTGCCACAGCGTACAAGTGCTGACTCTAGCTTATTGAACGAGATAACCAGAAGTATCAGTTTGCAAAGGATTAGAAATAAAAAGACCTTGGCCTTCACCACAAGGGGTTTGAAAAACACTCTTTCTGCAGCAGTGCTTCTCAACTGGGGATAATTTTGCCCCTCAGAGCACATTTGTAAATGTCTGGAGACATGTTTGGTTGTCACAACTGAAGGAGAAGATATGGATGGTCCATAGTGGGTAGAGGCCAGGGATCTGCTGAATAAACATCCTACAATGCATAGGACAGTCTCCCAGCAAAGAATGATCCAGCCCCAAATGGCAACAGCACTGAGGTTGAGAAACCTGCCTTAGAGGATCCCACAGAATCTGAGCTGAACCTGCTCTTTCTGAGAATCTGACAGGTTTAGAGTTAGGTTCTATAGAAACCAATGCCTCCACCCTAGAATCCCAAAGTTGCTCTGGTCTTCGAGGAATCTCAACGCCACCATAGTGACAGTATCTTGAGAATTCCCTCTTCATTGCAGAGAGAGTTCCACCTTTCCCCTTTGGCTCATATTCAACTGAAGAAGTAAAAATTGCCCACTTGGGAATATCATGTTATTTCTTTACCTCTAAATGCCTTCAACTGTATGATGCTTCATTATATTAAGTAAAATGAAAGAAAAAATGCTTCCCATTAAATGTTGATACTAATTTCCTTTTAAGTGTTTTATAATAATTAAAAGGGTTCTTTTAGACAGACTACCATATGTCACTCATACCGTGAAGTAGACTGGTTAAGTCATCCCTAAAACTTCCTCTTCAAAATTTGACTCTTGTGAGCCATTTCTTGATTCAGAGTCATTGGTATCCACCGTTTTCCAATCAATATTGTTCTTTGTGTCATCATGATGATGAGCCCTGGCCGGTTTGGCTCAGCAGTTAGAGCATCGGCCTGTGGATGAGGGGGTCCCAGGTTCAGTTCCCGCTAGGAGCATGTACCTTGGTTGCAGTTTGTCCCCAGCCCTGGTTGGGGTCATGTGGGTGGCAACCAGCTGATGTGTTTCTCTCACATCGATGTTTCTCTCTCTCTCTTCCCCCCTCTCTCCCTCCTGCTCTATCTGAAGATAAATGCAAAACTGTCCTCAGGTGATGCAGTACTTTTAAAAGACTACAAAATAACTCAGAGTTGGTATTGGTGGGCTCTTATGTGGTTTTGCAATTATGTCAAGCTTGCTTACTTTTGATTCCCACCCAGCAATGTTGTTAAGACATCCAGTTCACTGCCTTCCCATAACAATTGGTTTGTAGGGGTTAAAAGACTCCTTTCCTAATACTTCTGGGAATTTTTTAAAACTACTAACACCAGCCGGGCTGGTGTGGCTCAGTGGTTGAGCATCAACCCATGCATCAAGAGGTCACTGGTTCGATTCCCGGTCAGGGCACATGCCCAGGTTGTAGGCCTGATCGCCAGTGGGGGGCATGCAGGAGGTGGCCAATCGATGTTCTTTCATCGATGTTTTTATCTCTCTCTCCTGACTTCCTTTCTCTCTCTAATATCAATAAAGAAAAAAAAAATTTAAACTAACACCAGTTCTACAAGTTTTAGTGCTGGTGTGCTTGCTAGTCCCACAAGCACGGACAATAAAAACTCCTCGACATTCTTGCCTCACTAATGACAACTGTTAAATGCAATTGATTAGAAGACAAAGTCTCATTTCAGAGAAATAGGAAAAAAAATGCTCATCTTAGAACCAGAGAAATATGATTGCTTTAAAACCATAAATATTCTCTGAGATATTTTCATGGAGTCTTGGATCATTCAATGGTCAAAGGCCTCCTTTAACTAAAACTATTTGTTTTCCTGAATGAGGGGGAAATGAGATAGTCCTCAATATTTCACAGCTTATAGAACAACAGTGGGAAGTGGGTAAAGGGATTTATTTAGGTACATAAACTACAACCTCTTCTGTGATTCTTTTCTTCCTGGAAATCAGTGTTTAATTGGTGCAGATGCACAGAAATAGTATCATGTAATAAAATATTACCTTTTCTCTATTTGATTCATTAGCAATGTGGAAAAAAATTTATAGAGTCAGAATAAAATTTCCCTTAGATTATGTTAGCCTGAGCATATAGAAATCATGGGTCTCAACATCACAATTAACCCTTAAATGAACAATTTCAGAAGGTCTGTTTCCCTGACCCTGCTGATTCTTGGGCTGCCAAACACTCTAGAATCAAGTTTCGAATGCCATTTCTGGTTGCTATTATATTCTGTTTTCACCCCAGCCAAATTTTGCTGAAATATATTAGTGACATTTATTGCTTCAAGAAGATTCCTGTTGGGATTCTCTTTACCTAGCATACACAATTTCTTGTTTAGAAATCTAACTATAACTTTGTTCTCTTGATAGAAGAATTTAATCAGTACCCGCCACCAGCGCTTGAGAATGCCTGTAGACGTATCAATTTACAAGAAGAGCATGGTCAAAGCAACGGTCTCCTGTGAGTTCGAAAGCTCTTCTGTTTACAAGTGGACTGTTAATGGACTGAGGGGTGTGTAACTGGTTGATGGCAGGTTATTAAGCTGAGGAAGCTAATAAGGTCTCTGAAGTAAAGACTCTTTATGTGTTTCATTTTCTGTAGCTGAAGCTACACATCAAGCCTGCTTTGATGGATTGATGTTTTCATAACATCTTCCTGAGCTTTCTTACAGTTTTGCCTTTCAATTCATAGAAATTCCCACATTGAAATTTACCCCAGAATAGAAACCACAATTGAGCCTCAACCCACCTCAGCCTCACTTCCCCTCTCTCCCACCATAAGCTCTTAGTTCTAGCCACACTGGACCCTTGTCGGCCTTGTGTGAACTGTTGATCCACCCTCCTGGGCCTCTGATCATGCTGCATAGGACCCTGTTCCTTCCACTAAGACCCTACCCATCTTTCCTGGCCCTAATTAAAGCTGTCTCCACTGTGAAGCCCATTTTCAGTCTAAATCCATAATTCCTCCTTGTTTGTACCTTTTTATACATCTGCTGAGGTACTTACTACAGTTGACCCCAGTGTCCTGTCTCAGAGAAGTCTGGGGCTGGATGATTCATGTTTTTAATCTGCAACACGTAGCATAAAAGACTCCAAAAGACAGGTGTACATGTAAATAATTTTCTTAAAGTTGTATCCTCAATAACAATATAAATAATTGGTCTGAGTGAAACTTGAACCTCAGACAGAATGAGAGTGGCCCATATGGATGCTCTATGCTTCTCTCTATGCATCCCTGAGCTTGGATCCCTCACTGCAGCCTTGTGAAAGCCCAAAGTTGGGGCCATAATTACTGCATCTTCTCAGATGTCAGTTAAGCAAAGAGCTTCTCAGAGCAGATAAGGTCTCTTACATACATCCAGAAGCAAAATGGCAAGAATTCGTGCAGTACATGTTCCTCTAGTGGTAGATTTTATTTACTCGGTAGTTTAGCAAACACCCTACATCTTCTGAAAGACATTATCACATTGACGGCATGCAAGGCAGTGTTTCCCAGCATTAAGTAAGTCATAAACTCATTTAAAGGAAAATCAAGTTTTCTGGAACTGCCAACAAAGTCTTATAATGTCATTTAAACATATACACACCAACATAAATCTTGCTGCAAATACCATATGCCTATAGTTCTTGGGCAACTATCAGACCAAAACAAATGCATGCATCAAATCCAAGCAAACTCAACAAGACACAACTTTAAAACGTTAATTTAATGTAGTTCGTGATTTTGCTTTGCCAAAATAGAATTCCCGAAAACTAAAAAAAAAAAAAAAAAAAATACAGTACACATTGGTAAACTGTGATGCACGCTGCGGAGGTACATCTGCCTTCAGCTTGCCTTCCCTGATGCGTGAGCACCTGGTTCCTCACCTCTTGTCTCACCAGCACTGCTGCACAAGGATCATTCTGACTGTGGGTCGTGATAGCATTTGGCTTTTACTCGGTGCGAATGTATTATTCTTGTACTATGTCTGACTTGTTTCCCTTTTTCATTAACTCTCAACAGTTAAAGCAGCACTAGTGGGTGCCAAACCCCAGTCTCCGATACAAATGTAAACACAGACATTGACATTGCGTAATTTATTTACATGAATAAACTTGTATCAAAAATGATTTCTATCATCATCTAAATAAACACTGTTCTCAAATTATCCCAGGGAACTCTTAAACACTTGAGAATATAAATCTAGAGACTATTTTAAGAGGCATGATGTCAATGAGATGTTTTATGTAGTCTTATTCTTCTCAGAGCAGTTTGCGGGAAATTAAATGACTATTTTTTATGTTTTCTATGGTGATTGATATCAATCTGAGACACATTATTTGGTTGTTACAAATAACCTGTGATTGCCTTTCTTGTCATTTGTTTAAAACTTTGTGGCAAATCATACTTGGTTTATTCCAAAGTAGTATTCATAGGCTATAAGCAGATTGGGGAAAACGAAGAATAAATGGAAATTTTAAAGTTTACCAGTATCCTTTATTAAATAATAAGTAAAATGAATCTTCATGAACTATATGATTGCAATGAATTTAGGTTTTCACCACGCATTTTTTTTTCTGATATAATTAAATAGCTATATTAAATGGTTGTGATACTTTATTTGCATTCCCCAGAGTTATCTAAATTTACCTAAAACTTTACATTGGGTCTTTCAGATTTACTGCTGAGTCACATGAGACTTCTTCAGGAGAGAACAGCTTCACCAGCCAGGAATTAAATGCTGGGAGAGACTCATCGTTTATGTTGGATGACAATGGAAGTGACCATTTGGTTCACATTCCAAACCACATGTTTATGCCACCAAAATTAATGCTTAAGTATGAAAATGGTCGGGATTCTGACGAAATTGCAAGTCTCACTTCTGGTAAGGAAATGAGCAGTTACAACAGAGATTTTTAGATAACTGGGTCCTTGTGTTTTAACACCAGCAGAGAATCCAATACATCAAGGCTGGTATCTAAAGCAACGTTTTTCAAGTTCAAAGTGGTAGCTACAACTACTTCTTTTATTGAAAGTGAAGATTTAAATTGTGACAGCACCACTAAGGAGGTCGCTAATATAAGCTCTAAATAATGTCCCTGATATTCTTATCAAATTTAAGATTTCTCTGGATTCCACAACTCAGAAGGCTAGTGTGATGTAGAAGAGGGTAATATAGGGAACATCAAAGCAAAGGGATTCCAATGACTTTAAACGTGGGCCTGGCCAGCGTTCATCCCAGATCTACAGAATTTGTTCATTGCATGACTTTTTATGAATTATTTTTGAGAGACCTGGATTTTATGAAGTATAAACTCTCCCGCTGCCTCCTGTATGCCTTTGAATGGCAAAGCAATAATACCTTTTGTCAGGATTTAATAAAGTAAACCAGATACATAGGATATTAGTATTTCCATTAAAAAGGATGACATTCTAAATAGACTATTCAGCCATTCCATCTACGCAACTAGAATCTCCCAAAATACTCCTTTGACAAGAATGCCAGCATTTAAAACATTATGTCATAAATGTCATATGTGCTGTTAGAATATTAAGGTTGCAAAGAAAAGGGGGCCAGTTTTATGCCAGTTGTTTATGAGAATGAATAATATTTATTCTTAGTAGCTTTCTTAGATAAATCTTCTTTTTTTGGGGGAAATAAGATACTCATTGTTAGCATAAAAGCCAAGTTGGGTGAAGAAATACTGTACATGATGGCTCTAGGGAGGAAAAATAGAAATTGTCAGTTGCCCCGACTCCGCCCAGTTTCTCCTGGGTCAAAGTGTACAGGGAGCTCCCTGAGGATTATGTCAGGTTGTGATAGCCTGGAAACAGTGAGTGTCAGACCTAAGGATAATATGTATTTTGTATTCTTTAAAATAAATCTTGGTCTCAGATCATGTGTTGTCTGGGGACTTTGTGCTATTCTTTTGTTTTTTTTAATCACCTTTAGCCAGTTGCCAAAATCCACTGAGAAATTCCTGTTTAATGTGCCGTCTTCACGGAGACTACATTGTGGTTCCAATATTCAGTTGCTAAGAGTTGATCCTTGATAAGTTCCAGATGTACTGCACAAATAAAAGGTTGATTATTTTCATAAGCGCCTCCATATGCTGTGTTTGTTATTCATTTATAATGTGGTTCTTATGGCTGACAGCTGATCTCCCTGCCCTAGAACTGAGAGTTTTGAGGGAAAGCCAGGAATCTTAACCATTTAAGAAATTTATGGAGTTCCTAGAGTCTTGTGGGCTGGCGATGGGTTGTGTATCACCCTCTTTCACAAGAAACACAACTGCTCTCTTCCTGCCTATGCCCCCTCCCCCCGGCCCCACTTCTTCTGCTCTGATTTCCAAGTTCATCTCCAGTGCTATACCTTTTCTGCCCCTTTCCACTCCTTACAGCAGCTCAAGGACGATCTGTATCAAAATCACTTGGAATGGAAGTCCTTCATAAGCAGAGATTGCTAAGCCTTCCTCAGAACTACTGCTTCATACTTAGAGGTGTGGCCCTGGCCGGTTTGGCTCAGCGGTTAGAGCGTCGGCCTGCGGTCCTGAGAGACCCGGGTTCGGTTCCCGCTAAGGGCATGTACCTCGGTTGCAGTTTGTCCCTGGCCCTGGTTGGTCGTGCGGGTGGCAGCCACTCGATGTGTTCCTTTCACATCGATGTTTCTCTCTCTCTCTCTGTTCCTCTCTCTCCCTCCCACTCTACCTGAACAAAAAAATGGAAAAATGTCCTCGGGTGAGGATAAAAAAATAAATAAATAAATACTTAGAGGTGTGAGTGGTGAGGAAAAAGCTACAAGATTTAAAACCACCATAGGTGATTTTTTGTATGTCCTCAAGTTTGAGATCCATTATCCCTGTGATTTTCAAAGTGTGGTCCCTAAACTATCAGTATCAGCATCACCTGGGAGCTCATTAGAAATGCAGATTCCCCCCCACCAAAAAAAGGAAAGAAAGAAAAGAAATGCAGATTCTCAGTACTCATCCCAGACCCACTGAATCAGAAACTCAGGCTGGGGCTCCACAATCTGAGTTTTAACAAGCAGCACTTGTGATTCTGATACAGGCTAGAGTTTAGGAGCCACTACTCATCCCACCAATTGGGAGTGCTACATGTTCTGTGTTCTCAATGGAGCTGAAAGCAATTGGGTGTCCAGTATCACAGAACAGAAGGGAGAATTTGTTTCCAAAGGGTTCCAGGTGCAGTGGGTTATCATGTTATTTTACTTATCCAAGTCCACTGAACGTCCATCCATCCGCATCCGTTCGTCCATCCGTCCATCCATCCATCCAAAGATCTATCTAACAAAACACTTTTTAAGGTCCAAACATATAGAGATTGTCTAGAGATGCTATAATGCATTTTTTTAAATTAATTTATTTATTTTGTTACAGATGTTTCTCCTTTTCCCCTCACTGATTCCCACCTTCCCCTCCCTCCCCGCCCTATCCCCAGCTTTGTTGTCCATGTCCACTGTTCATGCATACATGCATATAAGTTCTGTGGTTTATCTCTCCCCCACTACCCCCTCTTCTGGGGATTGTCAGTCTGTACCCCACTTCCACATCTCTGGGACTACCCCATTTCTCAGACTGTTATGCTCATTATATTCCACAAATAAGTGAGATTATTTGATACTTGTCTTTCTCAGTTTGGCTTGTTTCGCTTAGGATAATAGTTTCCAGGTCCCTCCATGTTGTCTCAAAGGATAAGAGATCTTTCTTACAGCTGCATAATACTCCATTGTATATATGTACCACTGTTTTTTATCCATTTGTCTACTGATGGACATTTGGCTGTTTCAAGATGTTAGCTATTATAAATAGTGCTGCTATGAAAATGGGGGTACATACATTCTTTCTGATTGGTGTTTCAGGCTTCTTAGGGTATATTCCTTGAAGTGGAATCACTGGGTCAAATGGCAGTTCAATTTTTAATTTTTTGAGGTAACACCATATTGTTTTCCATAGTGGCTGCACCAGTCTGTATTCCCACCAGCAGTGCACTAGAGTCCCCTTTTCTCCACACCCTCGCCAACACTTGTTGTTTGATGATTTGTTGATGGTGGCCATTCTGTCAGGTGTGAGGTGATAGCTCATTGTTGTTTTAATTTGCATTTCTCTGATGATTAGTGATGTTGAGCATTTCTTCATATGTCTCTTGGCCATTTGTATGTCCTGTTTGGAGAGGTGTCTATTTAGTTCCCCTGCCCATTTTTTAATTGGGTTCTTTGTTTTCCTTTTGTTGAGTTGTATGAGCACTCTATATATATTGGAAATTAACCCCTTATCTGATATATCATTGGCAATTATGCTCTCCCATACAGTGGATTGTCTTTCCATTTTGATGATTGTTTCTTTTGCTGTGCAGAAGCTTTTGAGTTTGATAGTCCCATGTGTTCATTTTCTCCTTTATTTCTGTTGCCTTAGGTGATGTATCAGTGAAAATTCTACTGCATATGAGGTCTGAAATTTTGTTGCCTACAGTTTCTTCTAGGATTTTTATGGATTCACGAGTCACATTTAATTCTTTTATCCATTTTGAATTTATTCTTGTGTGTGGTGTAAGTTGATAGTCTAGTTTTCATTTTTTTTTGCATGTAGCTGAACAATTTTCCCAGCACCATTTATTAAAGAGGCTGTCTTTACTTCACTGTATGCTCTTGCCTTCTTTGTCATATATTAATTGAGCATATTGCCTTGGGTCCATTTCTGGGTTCTCTGTTCTGTTCCACTGGTCTATATGCCTGTTCTTGTGCCAGTACCAGGCTGTTTTGATTACAGTGGCTTTGTAGTATAACCTGAAATCTGGTATTGTGATCCCTCCAACTTTGTTCTTCTTTTTCAAGATTGTTGTGGCTATTTGAGGTCTTTTTTTGTTCCATATGAACTTTTGAAGTATTTGTTCTAGTTCTGTGAAGTATGCTGTTGGTATTTTGATGGGGATTGCATTGAATCTATAGATTGCTTTGGGTAGTATAGACATTTTAATGATGTTAATTCTTCCAATCTATGAACAAGGTATGTGCTTCCACTTTTTTATGTCTTCCTCTATTTCTTTTTTCCAATGACCTGTAGTTTTCTGCAAATAGGTCCTTTATTTCTTTGGTTAAGTTTATTCCTAGGTTTCTTAATTGTTTTGCGATGATGGTAAATGGGATTTTTTAAAGTTTCTCTTTCTGTGAGTTCATCACTGGTGTATAAGAATGCCATCGATTTCTTGACATTAATTTTGTATCCTGCTACTTTTCCAAATTCATTTATTAAGTCTAGTAAATTTTTGATGGGGTCTTTGGGGTTTTCTATGTATAGTATCATGTCATCTGTGAATAATAAGTTTCACTTCTCCTTTCCAATTTGGATTCCTTTTATTTTCCCTCCTGTCTGATTGCTGTGGCTAAGACTTCCAGTACTATGTTAAGTAAGAGTGGTAAAAGTGGGCATCCTCGTCTTGTTCCTGTTCTTAAGGCAAATATTTTTAATTTTTGCCCATTGAGTATGATGTTGGCTGTAAGTCTTTCATATATGGCCTTTATTATGCTGAGATATGAACCCTCTATGCCCACATTGCTAAGCGTTTTTATCAGAAATAGGTGCTGGGTTTTGTCAAATGCTTTTTCAGCATCTATTGTTATGATCATATGATTTTTATCTTTCATTTTGTTTATGTGGTGTATCACATTTATTGATTTGTGAATATTGTACCAGCCTTGCATCCCTGGGATGAATCCCACTTGGTCATGGTAAATCCTTTTTTTTATGTATTGCTGGATTCGATTTGCTAGTATTTTGTTCAGGTTTTTGGCATCTATGTTCATCAGGGATATTGGCCTATAGTTTTCTTTCTTTGTAGTGTCTTTTTCTGGTTTTGGAATTAGAATTA